CAGCATGGCAAGTCTGTTCCCTTCATCAATAGATCTGTAGATTCCATTAAGGATACAGGGAGTGCCAAGAATGATGGACACCCAGTATCCCAAGAACGTATCTGTTTTTCCATTGTTCGCGTAGCGGCTCCAAAGCGTCTGCAATACATCCGTGCTGTGTTCGCCTGGCTTTCGCTTCTGCAGGTTGGACACTCGACTGTCGATTAGTGGCTGCACGGCATCGTTTTCCATCGCCGATGCCTTTCTCTTGCCCCAACCTTGCAGTATACTCATCAAGTCTGCATCTTCAATGCACAGCAGCGGGGAGTCCAGAACCTCGTTCAACAAGCGAGGATTGAGTACTGGACGAGTTTTCAGTGCCTCCTTGGGGTAGATCAGGATCTGTTCCAGCGCCTGGCGCCTCAGATCCGCGACTTGGAAGCGGTCTGCACATGCGAAAAGCTCACAAGCCACTTCCGGCTGAAGCTTGTTTTGGACGGCCCGAAAGCAGAGTGCCGATAGCTTGTCCACTTGATACTTGTCTGCCAGTGTGCCAACCTCCACCAGAGTTGGGATGCTGCCTTCTACGACTCCAGAGTAGAGGAAGCGCAAGAACGCCTCCACCGCAGCAGCAGAGAAATCTTTGATGACCATCTGGGCTTGGGCAGACTCTGCAAAGGAGTTGGAGTTGATCATTTTATCAAAGACTTTGGACCATTTTGCCAGTAGGACGGACCACACTCTGAACTCAGACCGACTTGTGATCGCCCCATCCTCGCCAGCTTCTTCCCCGGCGCTTTCTTCCACAGTTATGGTGAAGTCACCGCCCTGGCCGAAGCATTCTCTCAAGACGTCAGCTGCAGAGGCCTTATCAGCTTCAAAGGCCATGGCTGCACTGCACAGTGGCCGATCTCAAAGAATGGCGGCTTACTGATAGCCACTCAGCTGAGAACGGAGTAGACGGCCATCCAATGACAACAGGATGCGAAAGAAGGGCTCCGCCCGACCGTTTCGTGCGAGCGGGCTCTGGATTTGATGTCATGAGACGAACGCTTTGGATGAAGCAAATCTTACACACGATATGCATAACTTCATCTCCGAAACAGTCTCGGACTCGCCAATGCAAAGAGCCGCCCCACACCCTACACTCGATCCAACGCAAGGCACAGCATCAAGAGAACGTGGTCGCACCCTGAACTGAACATCAACGACCAACGGCGGCTAATTTCAGCATTGCGAAAGCTTGGGGGCTTCGGTGGCTCTACTTTGGGAGTTGGATAGCAGACCAAACAAAGGTGTCCTTCCGCAACTCCCGGGCCGAGCTGCCCTTCTCGCAGGTGCTGATGGCAGAGTTGTAGCTGATGATCGTCGGGTTATGCGTGTGCATCCTGCAGTGGCTCCTAGCTGTCCTAGCCCTAAAGCGGCCCTAGCCAGAGCGTTACCTGCAGGTAGTTCCGCCTGGGGACTCTGCCGGCTTCGCTTTTCTAGACAACGTGCGTGCTGAAGCATGGTGCTCACTCAATCTACATAACCTGTCATTTTTCAGGCAGTCGGTCGCTAGCCTGTCAGGGCTTCGGACAAGCCAGATGAAGTTGCGCAGTACTTTGCGCAGTGGGTGTTCACGCTCACCCGTCATGTTGAAATTTCTCCACACCACTCGACATCGTATGCACTGCATGGAGAACTCTTGAAATCTCTCCAGGCGTCGTGTTGAGAGTGGTGAAATTCTTGACTGTACCTCGGCAAGCATCTGCATCTCGTAACCAAGTCATCCCGAAAGCGTGCGAAAGCGTGAATGCCTGCGAATCGGGGCCCCTTGATTTTGTCTTCTGGCGCTTGGCCGACATGGCAGTGCGCTGCAAAAGTGTGTCACCTTGGCCAAGCAGAGCGAATCAGGAGTGAGGGGCGAGAGTAAGGAGGAGGGTGAGAGCGAGGAGAATGAGGAGAGCGAGGGTGAGAGTGAAAGTGAGAACGATGGTCGAGGAACAGCTGCTGCAGCTGAACAGCGAGCAACCGAGCAGATATCTCGCGGAGGGAGAGCTCGCGGACCTGCTGGACCTTGACAAGCTCCCACAGCATCCGCCGTACCTCCGCCTTACTAGGCAGTAAGGCGGAGGTACGGCGGATGCTGTGGGAGCTTGTCAAGGTCCAGCAGGTCCGCGAGCTCTCCCTCCGCGAGATATCTGCTCGGTTGCTCGCTGTTCAGCTGCAGCAGCTGTTCCTCGACCACTGCCGGTAGTCGCCCGCAGTCGTGTGCCGGTACCAGCTGGTAAGCAAGTTGACAAAAAAGCCGCATGACTGTGTAAGGCGGGTCGGTTGGCATGTCACATGCCTTGTAGCAGAACTCCTCCGCCGGCAGCTCCTCCTTCTCCTCGGCGGAGTCTTCGTCCTTGACGTCCAGAACCTCCTGTCTGGGGACCAGCGCCGCCGCCTGAGGAAGCGGCACGGAAGGGGCGGCGTCGATCTGGTACTCTCTGGTGCGATTTCAGGAGAAGCTGCGGGAGCGCAACCCCGTCCCTGCACCATGCGACAAGGGGCCGCAGCGTGCTCTGACAGCTTTCCAGATCTTTGACTTTATGAACGAATTTCAGCACTACATCGGAGATCGAAACTTGTATTATATTGATTCGAACATTGTTCGCCCGTTGACCTCGGAGCTGCAGCTGTCCTTGGCAGAAGTTCTGGGGCCCTGTCAAGTCGTCTGGTTTGTCTTCCACGTGTCTGACCAGGCTCGCTCGCTCTTGCGTGATGTGGCAGACGCGCCTCTTCCCGTGCAGTCCCGCTGGGACGGCATGACAGAGCAGGAGTTTGCCGCTGAGTTTCCGATTAGGGGACAACGCTTTAGGGCCCAACTTACTGCAGTGTGGCGAGCTCACCAGCATAACATGAAGGCGCCCTGTGCGTCAGCACACGTGCTTGAGCTTGGAGCATTCCCCAATGCTGCTCCCCAGATCCGATGCGCCGTGTGCCGCAGCACTACAACACGCAAACATCTTGATCGATTCAAGCGGCAAACTTGTCTGCAAGCTGAACAGCCCGCTTACAAGGCTAAGTGGGAATCCGCATTGAGGAGCATCAATGGAATTGTGAGCCAGCTGCGACAGGCAGCCCCAGATTGATCGCCAGACGTGCACTCTGTACTGTGGGCTTTGGTTCAAGGTCTGCTGTGCAGTGTTAGACCGTCTGGTTTGTCTCGCATTTTTGGGGAACGAGATTCACCTACACCTGCGACGCTCTCAGGCGGCATGCCGAGGCAGTCGTAATTTCCGAACATGCAGTAACCCCGTCGTGGGAATCTGTGTCTTACTGGATCTGTGCTTTCAGCAACAACCAGTACTTCATCGATGAGGAGTTAGGCACGAGTCACTACGAATCCTCCTTTTACCTGGCCCTACACAGCAGCTGTGTTCAGGGTACTTGCATGATCTTGGACGAGCATGCCTTGCCACTGAGCCTGGGCTTTTACAGTGTTTCTTGAGTGCAGTCGTGGCGTTGCTGAAGTCGTGAGTTGGTTGCGCTTAGCGACATCGGACTGCTTGAGCACTGGACGCATAAGCTGAGGAAGAGTCTCGTTCTGCTTCCTCAGAAACTCGTTTTCCGCCTCGGACTTCGCCAGGCGGACAGAGAGCTCGAGTTCCTGCTTGTGCCACTTGGCTTGTCGACTGAGCTCACGTTCGTGAGCTGCTGTAAGCTGCTGTGTCACCAACCCGGCAGCGAAGCTGCAGGCTGCCGCAGCCGTCGGGCCCAGCTCCTGTTCCAGAGCCTCTCTCTTGGCGACTGGTCCCAAACGCAGTGGAGGAGCCTGCACCAGCTGCATCGGCAGCGGGTCCTCCTCTTCCTCATGAGCAGCCTCTGCTTCTTGCTTCACTTCCCTCGCAGCCGCTCGAAGTTCTGCAGACTCAGCTGCCACGGTCTTCTGAGAGGCTTCACTCTCAGAAGACCACACCGGAGTCCGATCAGCTGGGGGACCTCCAGCAGTCACGGAGGGCGACGTCACATGATCCTCAATCATCTGCGTTGTCAGAACATCGTGATCCTCCTGCGGATGCTCTGACGACAAAGCTACTGCTGCCAGATCTTCCTCCTCCAACTGCTGAACTCCTGAGGCTACCTTTCCAGAATCATTCTCCTGGGAGTCTACAGCTCCAGACAGCATCTCTACCTGGAGGCCTCCACTGAAGATGCCCAGGCGTCGGAGCTGCCTTGACTTCTCCTCCTGGGTCGCCTCGCCAGCTTCTCGCACCATTTCGCTGCCTTCGGCAGCGCGTCGCAGCCGATCCTCCATCGAGAGAATGGCGAGGCTACACTACAGTCCTGGCCTGTGCCTCGGCCTTGGGCCAAGATCTCACAGGTCGGGCAAGCTGATTCTCACGAGGGAGCCGGCTGCGCTCCTTTGAGCGCCGTCGCTTCTCCCGCCGCTCCTCTTGAGAGTGGAGAGCAGACGAAGAGCTTTCGTCCACGATGCCGACTTGGCACAAGCTTTGATGGCCTGAGCCCCGTTCAAGGTGTTGAATCGAATGAGGGGTCCCATCACCAAGGCCATTTCTATAATCTCAGCTCAGAGCTGCATTGTAGGCGACAACATCTGCGTGGCTTCCTTTGCAACCGGCGGTCCTGAAGAAACTGGAACTTGCTGCAACCATGGGGAGCGGGTTCTTCTGTCTTGTTTCTTAGTCTTCAAGCAATATGTCTCCTCGTACCCGTGGCATGGCTCCAGCGACTCCCATCAGGGGTCGTCCCCAGAGCATGGCACATCTGAGGCAACTTTGGCCCCTGGTCATCTTGACCGAATGCAAACGACTCGACAGTGGAGTTCGAGACGCCTAGTGGTGCTGGGAAACATCACACCAGCTTTTAGCCGAATGCGTTCTGAGGTTGTGTCCAACGTCTCCCGCGAGCTGCAAAACTGGCGATGCGAAATACTTGTCGATTTGCTCATACACTAATCTACACGAAATCCTTTCACGAACAGCCAGGGTGAGCATGACGCTGCCGTGCGTGATTACAGCTGGGTCTTGCACGAAGCTCATCACGATCACGGACTCCCGAATCTCAGCAGATCCCATCGGGACAACAGTCGACATGGAATAGTAGCTCATGCGATACTTCTTCCTCTTCTGGGAGCTCAGCTTCTGCCCAGACCAGGTTCAGCAACGCGCTGGTGCCCAGAATTTGCCTGGAAAAAAGCACAGCTCAACAGACAAACTTCAGCTTACACTCGCAATCTTCAGCATTCCGCTCTCTTCGAAACGCTTGCCGCCAGGGTGCCCAAAGTTCACGATGAAGCTCACTTGAGCTGCACAGGCCCGCTTCAGCCTCAGCTCAAGGACATCCATGCTCCAAGCAGGATGCACTGCTCACATCTAGTGCAGTGCCAAGTGCCGTGGTTCGTCACCTGGTTTGGCCTCGGCTCATTCGACAGTCCGCTACAACACAGGAAAGGCTCCCAAACTAGCTGGAAGTCGAGCATCGAGGTGATAGAAGTAGAGGCAGAAGGCCACAAGCTGCAGAATGCGCTGATAGCCTCCGGGCTCTCGGCCGAATGCAAGCAGAGATCGTTGTACACGCCATCTGCGCAAGAACCATGTCGTGTGTGTGTGTGTGTGGGTGGTTGACAGCTGCATCGCGTTTCAGACCGAGGGCTCCAAAACTGTGGCGCCGACCGACGCGCACCGAATCTGCGTCAACGTGACATTCATGTGGAACTTGGATTCAGCACTGTGCACGTGTTGGGTCAGAGTTGGTCTTGCCACGCCAAATCAAACCGTTCGTTCGAAGCCCAGCTTTTCTGCCATGTCATAACGCCCCCGATGAGAAAAAACACAAATGGCCAAATCGGGGGGACTCGACTGGACCCGGCGCGCGGCGTTTCGGGTTGTCGTCGGGGAAGGGAGAAGGGGCCGCCCACCGAGCTTCACTCGGGACTTTAACACCCTCACGCTTCAAAACGGAAAGGCACAAATTACGAGTACAATGACAGCAGTGCATGCTTCGCTGCTTCTGCCTTTCGCAACTCAGGATGGGACTGGAGACGAAGAAGAGCGTGGAGCAGCGGTAGCTGGGGTTCATGAAGGCCGTGGACCCGCGACCTTCGAAGGAACATTGACCGGTGTTGCACTGCGGGATTTGTTTAGCGCAGCTATTCTCGACATCGGCTCTGCAGTCGGACCTGCGATGCTGTGCTAACGGACTTCACAGGTTGCTCGCTTGAATGTCGATGCTTCGCTTCATCCATGTCACCCAAGAAGTTCAGCGCAAAGAACAGGATGCAGGGCAGCATGACAAGATCCCACGTCATCGCCTGTCCAGAAAAGTAATAGCAATAAAATTGGGCCGGCAGGACTATCAAAGTCCCAATTACACATCTGCATGCTGCTCTAATCTCTATGCAGGAGCGCAGCAATTTGCCCGGCAGATGGATGCTTTTTTAAAAAAATTGTCGAGCGATTTACCTGTAAGCTAGAGCCCAACCATCAGAGTTCCAATGTTGCATAGTGCAGGAGCTCGAGGAGAACAACAAGGGGCCCTGACATGATATCCCTGTTGCGAATCTGCCAGCGTAACACACAACCCGATGGCATGTTGCCTCTGGCTGAAGTTGCGGAATGGTGCGCAGACTGGCCACACCGACATGGAACTGAGCTGCAGCATGCATGCCCTCTCTGCACTCCTAGCAAAAGCTCTGAGCTCGTCGACAGCGTAACGGCGTAACAGGGAGTAATCCGAGGCAACTCACAGGGTACGCTTCCCTGATCTTCCCTGCAGTAGGCGCAGCTGGACTGCTCAGAGACAGTGTCGGAATCGGGTTCTAACAAAAGGGATCGTTACAGACAGGCATGAATCAGTTGCTCACTTCACGCTGCAGGACAAGTGCAGCAAGATTGCAGCCCTAAACTGGCCCACCACACTCCACAATTCAGCGACCCTAACGGACAGAGACAGCCTTCGCATCGCTGAGGGGGTTTGCATGCCGAGTTAGCTGGTCCCTTCCACCTTTTCCGAAAAGGGGGCAATCGTTCATCGAGCGTTGAAAGTCTTTCCACTTCTCGCCAACAACGAACAGCTAAATGTATCTCTTTTCCGCAGCCAGGTGGCGACAGTTGCTGTTCCCAACACCTCGGTAGCATTCGGTAGCATCAACACAAGAACGGACATGTCGACGTGAAGCTTTGCACAACTCGACTTCATACCCACACCAATGTGATAAGCGTGCCACGAAAAGATATCTCCTTGGCAGACAGGCTTCAACCAAGCTTCAGAGTCCAGAACTTTCTGAGCATGCCCAGGACGCAACCCAGCAACCCAAATGCTATGTTTGTGCTTAGCCTTCCTGTGGGATCCTGGCCAAGCCCGCCCGCAGCTTCGCTTGCTGCACAATTACCCTGAACTTCAGGCAGGTGTCTCATCGGAGTGCAGAAACATCAACAACCATGCCAAGCCTGAGTTAGAACTGGTTGCAAAGTCAGCTGCATTGCGCACGTGCAGATCGCTAGCTGAAGGGCAAGCAAGGAGCGAGGATACCTTGGCTCATCGGCTCATGCACATCACGGACCCTTTCTGCAGTCCATAAATATCTGTGCTCTCATCCAAGGCTCTTCTTCCTGGCCAGGCCCACAGAAGTCATCTGCTTGGAGTGCTGCGCCAGGGCGCGCTCCGCGACACCCCTCCAAAGCCAAAGCGCGGGGGCCCCACAACTTTGGGAAGGGAGGAGGGCGCGGGCAATGAGCCCCAGCAAGCTCTCTGCCAAGCGATGCCTGAAACGTCGCCTGAGGATGATGCGGCGGAGCATTCGGACGATCTTGCAAAGTGCCTCAAGGTCAGAAGGCTGATGGTGTTCGGTGCGCATGCACGGTGAGGTTGCTCGCATGCGCCTGGTTTCGCTGCTGCGCTGCCAGGATCCGTCTCTTTTCCAGGGCGTCATGGAAAGCCTTTGTTTCAGCGTGCAACTTACGACTGACAAGACCGCGCACTATGAGGACTTACTGAGCAGCATGTTAAGTCACCATGTGTGGTAATCACAACGGTTGCCTAAAGTAAGCCTGCAATGCCGAGATGCGGATGTTAGCATGGCTGCCGGCATGGTGACGAAGGCCCAGGCGGAGAACAGCGAGCCTTGTATGTACAAAAAAATATGTATGTATATATATATATATATATACACATATCTGTGTGTGTGTGCCCCGGGCCGTTGGGCCGCGGGGCCGCGTCGCTAGTTTAGTTCTAGCTGGCACGATTGAGTTGGCAACAGCTAGTCGGGATACCGTAGGACCATTCCTGAATCTTCTTGTCTTCTTTCTTCACCACTGACGAACAGACCCACAGCTGTCTCTGAAGGCCGAAACCCAGTGTCGTGACCGCTGCTACCAGTAGCTGTTCGGAAGGGATGCTGTGCTCCAGCATGCACACAATCTGCGGAGGAGCGACAAGCGTGGACGAGACGAACTTTCACAGGATACTCAGTCATTGGATAGTCGCCACTCATGTGGATCAGCCTTGGATGGCTCATCTGCATATCCAATCCCAGCTTTGCAAAGTGCCAAAAGCAGTGGCCGCAGGCAATCGCTCCCGCCCTTTGCATACTCAAGTCAATGGCCAGCCGAAGTGCGTAAATTGCATTGCAAACCTCTGCACATCGCTGGGGTGACTGTCGCGCATTCATTTCAATCAACTGCAGCCGCAGCTTGTTAGCACACTGCATAACTTGCATAAGGCATGTAAGCTTGGGGCCAGAAGTTCGAGTACCAGCAAGCAAACGTCTTGTCTTCACTTTTCACTTGGAACTCGCCATGGAGAAAGTACCAGTTGTACCTAAATTGTCTTGAGGTGGCAGGACAAAGCATGCGCACTTGCAACCACGAACACAGTCTGCTTAATTCGAGTTTGAATCACAAATGCAATCGAACGACGCAGCCAAGATAAACCAAAAGCTCGTCAGCACATAGCAGACTTGCAGCATTTGGTAGCCGCGTCCGGCAAGCACCTGTCCCGCAGAGCAAATCAAGGAATGCAAACAAGCAATTCTCTACCAATGGCGGTCTGAAACATGGTACCTCCAGGAAGTCACCAAAGGCAGGCACGTAGCGTTCCAAAGCAGCGAGCCGCCAAAGGCGCAAGGTGACAGCGAAATTCCGCAGCCGGTAGCTTACGGAAAATCCTCCAGGTCCGCGCAGAGTTGTGAAGGAAACTGTGGCGAAGCGACCGCCCGCCTCCCAAGTAAGCCAAAGTGATCGGAAGAGAGCCTCGGCTCGGGGTCAGACCGAACGCACCCATCCTTCTTGAATCGCACGCACGCCCATGCACGAGGCCTGCGATGACCAGAAGATCTGCCACACCCGTTGGATGCAAGAACCTGAGGGCAGAGGGCGTTCCACAGCCGCAAGAAAAGGAAGCCGGACTCGGACTCGTTGCGCTGCCAGAGCTGGGAGACGGGGCATCTTCCAAGGCTGCGGATGGCACCAGCACCGAGCGACAAACTCCGCCAGGAAGCAAAGCAAACACAGCCTAATTTGCTGTCACATTAACTTAGCATCACATAACCCACAGATTTCGCTAGATTGTAAATGCATATAGAAGCCGTGCAGATCAAGAGGCAGTGAGACTGCTGAAAGCATGCCGCTGTATGTGCTGCAGCTCGCAGCATGCAGTGTGAAGCCCAGACCTTCCCAGCTGCACGGCGCCAGATCAGACCGGAAAGTGGCACACGGGGGCACCTGTGCCCATGTCTTCAGCAGCTGCAGCCGTCTCTTCGCAGTCATCCTGAGTTCGTCATTCAGACCCCCGATAGCTATCGTTGTCTTGCCACCACCACTGCTGCAGATCTGCTGCTGAGGCTCAAAGAAGGTCAGCGTTTCCTTTCATCGGCTTGCGTGCTTCTACAGGCAGTATCTACGGTCCCACGCATTGGCTGAGACTGGCTGATGTTAGCCCAGAATCCACGCAGGAGGCAAAGCAGCAAAGTCCAGTCACAGCAACGATGGCGTGCTGAAGCCTTGGCTTTGACATTTTGAGGTGCCGGGCAACCCGCTGCAGCCGTCCAAGACATCTGCTCGAGATCTGCTGCAGCCACGTCGCCACTTTGCACCGGCCCCGTTGCCTGGAAAATACGTGCCCATGGTGTACAGCTTCTACTTGCACCTACTCTGACAATCCTTGGCATGTAGTCAGCAATCCCAGCCAGCAAGAGGGCTCATTCGAAGGGTACCAGAAGTCAAACACAAACTTCAAGCGGAGAGCATGCTCCATCCAGCAGCGAACGCGACCGAAAGACAGCCAACTCGTGATGTCGTTCCACTGCGTCCAGATGCAACCCACCCCGAACTTCGACCCGGAGATTCAAGAACAAAATCTTGGCTGCAACTGTTTACATTATCTTCAAGCCTGCCTAGCTCATGCGCGGTCTATTTCGGGCTATACCCACACAGAAACGACTGAAGAATGCGTGCGAAACCAGCGAGTAACGTTGCCGCACAAGACCAGCAGAGCTGCCTGGATGTCGCTTCCCCATCAGCAGCCTCCCGCCAGTCGTGACCGTCTTTCTAGTCTTAACATGGAAGCGTCCGGTAAGAGGATCAGCTCAAAATCCTAAGTCTCCCTGGCAAATCATGCAGGTGACAGCTCAACAGCCCACCAGTCACTCACACCACTGAAACAGTGTCGTCTGTCATGTGCTTGCCATTTTAGACAAATCGCCTGCCTGTACCAATGGTATTTGCGAGATCCAGGCTGCAGTCGCATGAGATTCTCGTCGTCTACCTGGCTGTCGCATAGCTTCGATGCAAGCGACTTGTGTCGCCGTTTTGCCAGTCTTCAAGGCAAGCGACGTCATGAACGTCTCCTCGGTGTAATGCGCAGGGCACTCAGAGTCTAGGTGCACAAGTCTGGCCAACAACTCAACAGCCCGAGCACATGTACGCTGCTGTCATCACCGCAGCCACGGTGAGCAGGGCCAAAACGAAGTACTTCCGCAAGTACGCTCATCCTAGTCACTCGGTCTGTGTCCGAGCTATCGGCCGAGCATCGATAGACTCCAGAGGCTCGTTCCTGTGCCAGTGTGTTGAAGGCAACCTCGGTTGCTCCGGCTTCGGACAGAACCACCGCGTTGCACCGGCAGAAAAGCCATGAATGGTTGCTGGCAAGGTACGGACATGTTGTCGAACTCCTCCTCACAACCAGTGTCAGCAACGAACGTGTCTTGCTGCTAGTTGCCGTTCGTGTCCCGAAGTCCATGTCCGACACAAACTAAAACAAACACAGGTGCCGCAGGAGATCCGGCCCACATCGTGACACCGCAAGCAATGCAGTATCAGCCGTAATTATCAGAGTCCGACTGTGCGGCCCTGGGCCCTGCCGCCTGTGCAAGAAGAACCGCCGTGCCCGAACCACGACGGACTTCCGTGCTCTTGCGCGGAGCATTGGGCCTGGCAACAGGCTTGAACTGAGATTTCTTCTCGCAGCATGTGACCCGCCCCGCCGCTCCGGCCTGGACATGAGAAGCTGAGCATGCATCTCATCCAGACCTCACTGTCGAGCGAAGACTGCCTATGATCGCGGGTGCCTGCGGGACTCCAGCGTTCTCGGAAGGCTGCACCAAAGACACCCATGGGCACAGTGAAGACCTTGTCGGCACAAGAAGGGCCACAAACCGATCGCACTTGCCTACAGATGCATTGCCACGAACTATAGATCACCTCCTTGCAACCTAATAGGAAACGGTATTCAAGGCGTTCAGGAACGAACGATCACTCGCTCAACCTGCCCGAAGAAAACGGTATGTCAGAGCCCGGGATACGACATTGCTGCGCCAAGCTACACCGACACCCACCAGCATAATGAGCGTGTGAACGGCCTTCCCCTTGAATTTGTAGGCACTTGCACTCTGCTGGCTGTTGTTTCCGAATTGCAGACATGCACCTGGGCAGAATGGTCGTTCACGGGAGCTTCGCTGGTGAAGTCCAGTCCAGTCATCCAGAAGGAAAGAAACAGCGTGCGGAAGTGATCCCGAGTACCTCAAACGTTCTCACAATCAATCGGAGCAAAGCACTGATCCAGCAAGAAAGGTGCATCTGCTTGCAGTGTGGGAACCTTCGTCTGGGTTGTCGCGCTCGGCATAATACATAAGTACCGAACCTGATATCCAAAGAGCTGTTGCCAGAATGAAGGTGATCCTCTCCGGGCACATGCACGCGAACGGTGCGTGGCACCCGTACATGGACTGAGTGTCCTGAAGATAACATAGTTCTCGCGGAGGACTTGCCGGAGTTGTTCGAACATGCCTCCAAAGAAACCTGGTGGAGGTATTGTTGGAATTGAAACTTGCCCCTTCTGCAAACTGTTGGGTCAGGTGTCTTGGAGTCTTGCAGCTTGGACACTGTCCAACTTGATCCAGCGGAACATGCACATGCCATGGAATGCCTGACCATCAAATTAAAATCAGGAAATACGCCGTGATCTCACCCTCTGATCAGACTCTTCAGGGACAAGACCAAGCCAACATTGCATGACCCGTTGCGAGCTGCTCCCTGCTGTAGTAAGCTTGTCGTTGGCTGCTCTGGAACTCCTCGCAGGGGCCAAAGGACGAGCTCTTGAATCTGCATACTGCATACTCCAAAGCTTTCTCTGTCTGGCTCCTGACAGCTGCCGTGCAGCAGAAGGGAGATGCACAGGAAATAGGACGGTAGCCACGCCAAGAGATCCGCCTAGATGTGCTGCAACTTCCCTCAAGCGAAGCGGGACTTCGCTGTGCAATAGCTCACAGGAACTCGCACGAAGCCGTGAGTACCGTACGAGATGGACACTGCTCAGCAGGTACTCGCGAATGTGCCTTGGTTAAGGACGGAGCCGCTGCAAGTCTGCTGTGTTTGCCAAGGTCTTACTTACCGTGTTAAGCAAGAAGTGATGGCATTGCGGCTGCAGCGCGCAGTGCACAGCAGGCGCTGCGACCAATGCACCTAGCAGACTCGAGCTGCTGCAAAAGCGCCAAAGAGCTTATCTCATGCAGGGCACCAGAAAAGGCAAGGCAAAGATGATGTCCAGGTAGCGACAAGGCGCAACCCTGCATCAGTGGGAAGCGGAAGCAACGGAAGCAAGGCCACCACATGCAGGACTGAGATCAACGCGCAGACGCTTGCCATCCATCCGCACCATACGCACGGCCTCACACATCCAAAGCTTCAAGGGTTACGCTCACTCCAGCTTGCGACCCTTCATGGGACGTCTGGGTCATGGCCGGGGAGTGCTCTACGGCTCTCCTAGCAGCCGGAGCTTAGTCTCTGGACCAGGATAACAAGATGAGGGCAACCCATCAAGTCCGCAGATCTACACGGGAAGACGGCATGAGTGCACGTTCAAGTCGACAGATCTTTACATGAAGACAGCTTGAGGGCACCCTCATGCAAGGACTCTCCTGCAGTTTCCTGAAAAGTGCAAAGCTAAGGCAAGAAGCAGAGCAAAGCTTCAAGGGTTGCATGAACATGCTGTGCTGGTTGCATTAAGTATTCGACCTTCAGTGTCCGACTCCCGCACGGGCTGCTGGTACACACGGGTCAGGAACACAAAGTTGCCGGTCGATAGTAACTGGGCGGGGAAGCACCCTCAAGTGACCATGAAGTCTCACAAGACCTATACTCGTGTGCAGCTGTGACCAAGGCACCGACCACTAAGCCAACCATGCATGCTCCCCAGGCAGCAGAACAAGGCGGGGGGCGACGCTCCTGCGCGCTTGGAGCCATCGGGTTTGCGGCTTTACGTGACCTGTTGCCGTGGCACAACAAAGGCCGTGCCCCATCCTCAGATCGGAGGGGAAGCCTGCGGGAGAGTCGCGAGGAGATGTGATCCTCACAGAAGCTCTTTTAACAGAACCGCACTGCACAAAAATGTTAAACGGATAGCCAAAGAGCTTGAAAGGCTGCACCGAGAACACCGGCAGGAACGCTGAGTAAGGCCGTCCCCACCAGGCAGATCACCTGGTTCAGGCACTTAGCACTCAGGCGGCGCCTGCTTTCGACAGGACTGCCGGCATGGAGGAACGGCACCATTGAATTCATCCGCCCAAGCGGTCTGGAGAACTCATCGGCATTCGGGAACTCGCCTTGAAAGACCGTGCTAAAAGTGATGGGTCGTTGGCGGCAAGCGAATGAGCAAGAAGGCCACTAATCGTGTGCCAGGACTTCACCTGAATCTGTGCACAGCCTCATCTGTTGGCAAGGGGCCATGGAAGTCAATCAAAGCCTCGGACGGTGGAAGCGTTTAAGGGCGCCATGCCAAGCCGCAAGGCAGTCAGAACAAGCACGCCGGGGGGATGCTGGTGGCTAGCAGGTACGTAGCGGCTAGCACTGAGTCTATCAACGAGCCACTGTGCAATTCCAAGCAGCATAGTACATGCCCGAAGGGATGGAGACATACCGGTGGTAGCCTAACACACGCAGTCCAGATTGGGATTCTACAAGAGTTAAAAGGGAAGTGCAAAGGCTGCAAATTCATCGCTTGGTGCCGAGCCCGGCTCAACTCCCCAGTAGAACTCCTCGTTCTCCCGCTCGGTCCTGAGCTGCTTGATCTGCGAAGCAAAAACGGAGCCTTGATCAATGCTGCCGGGTCTCAAGAAGTGGATGGTGCTGCAAGCCAGCCACATGGCACCAAGCAGGTAGATCTCGGGGCACCGAAGCTGTGCGGAGCACCAAAGTCGTGCACCAAAGCTGCCGAGGCGCTGAGATCTGAAGCAAACCTCGACTACAGAGGTCGTGGCAAAGGCAAAAAGAATGTCTGAACTCGATCAGTTTGGACAAAGTGCTCCAGTTCGACCAAAGAAGTTTGGCCAGAATTCCCAAGCCTCCAAGGTGCGCCAACACTGCATTAGAATGGGTGCTGTGCATACATCCTGCATTCTCATGAACAACAGGCCATCACAGAACATCACACGACATCCAATGACCAAATGGAGAAGTCGGAGCGACGCGCTCACCGACACCTTCAAAACATAAGTGCTCAATCCCGAGGTGGCCCACGTCTCGGAGACGCTGACTCTACAATCTCCACGTTGTCTTCACAGGCAAACTTCGCCTTCTTCGCTATGTCCAGCTCGCAGCGACACGTCTACCATGCGCGGCATTCGCAGCCAGATGAGGTTCGGGAAGAGGTCGGCATACTGCAAGCATGCAATGAAAGACTCCCGAGTTTACAGGGCGGGAAGTGCAGACGGCACGCGCCTGCGGCAAGATGAGATCCAGAAGCGTCGGAGTCATGGCAAGGACATCTGACCAAAGAAGCGGGGAAGTGAAGAAATACCGCCTCGGCCGGAGTTGTGCGAAAACAGGGCCCTGTGCCTGAGCAACCGCACTCTGTAGAGGATTTGGCTTGGCCTTGCAGCGGAGATGCGTGCGAGGGAAGGTTGAAAGGCGTAAGTCCGCTGTGTAGAGCCGCAAAGACACGGAGAAAAGCAACAGGATGGCAGTCCTTGCAAGAGATCCATTGGCTAGGGGTGCGTGACACCGTGACACGGTGCCCTTGGCACCAACCAGTACAGTTCCGAGAGGTGCTTCCAAGCATCAAGTTCTCCAAGTACCAAGCCGGCTGCTTCCAAGAGTCCTGATCAACGAAACTCGACTGCTGCCTTCCTGTTCTACCGACCTAGCAAATCCTGGCAATTGCAGGGCCAGCGAGAGCCAAGTCTCGAAGTAGCGCTTGCCCTGCTCGAGCTCACACGTCGAGTCTGCAAAGTCAAGAATGGATATAATCCTGAGACTTTACCATTTCACGCAAGCACCAAGCTAACCCGTGCTCGAGACTCGCATCATTGCAAGTGGATCTGGCTGTTGCACGGACCGATTGTAGAGTTCACAGCCCACTGTACATCTCGAAGCCAAGTCTCGTTAAAACCTGAACAGCTGGGAGTCACGAATCTGGACTGTGCACGAGTACGAACCCCTAAAAGATGCTTTCGTGAATTCAGGTGACTGAGCCGAGGGCCCCGAGAATGAATTCCAACACATGCTCTCTCTCTGGCGAATACCACGTCTCTGCCTCATGACACGATATATAAGTCTCTGGCAACCGCTTCTGCAAAAGCGGAGGGTTTGCAGTGGACCGAGGACGAGCCTTTCGCGACCAATTGTGCGAGAGACGAGACTCAGCCTTGACGAAGCCTCAGGAGAAGGCGGCCATTGACCAACAAAAAAAAGCACGCTGCAGACTTGCATGTGACATCATGGGACACAGTTGCACTCTTACAGAAAGCTCTGGTGTCTCTGAACGCTGGATCCCTGTGCTTTCGAGCAACATCGTGCAAGCAGCACCGATGCACCACCACCAAACTTAGCAAAGGGCAAGCACAGGCCGGATCTCGCAGCCGTGTAGAAGCTACATTGACTCCTCCCCGCTGGTCGATGATACGGTTTGACTGGGACCGAGGTGTGGACAAAGGCCATTAGGAGCCATCCTGCCTGCATCCAGACAGACTGAATCCTCGGCGTGAAAAAAGTTAAACGGTGTACACTGCATATGTAGTACGACGGCTCTTCACATAGCTGTTCAAGGGGTCAGGAGTCGCATCAAGCCGGATGACGAAGTCGTCCGGACCTTCGATTGTCTTGCACTCGGCACGTGCCGCAGAAGCTCTCATGCTAGACTGCCCAAAGCGGGCGGATATAACTAGCATACCAAGACGTCACGAACTTATGCCACCATGCTGGCGTGCGTTCAAGATGCTTTCTGGATTCTGAGGCGCAGGGTATAGCCCTCTGTGCTGTGGACACACATTGAACCTTGCCGACGGCAGGGCGGCATCACCGGAACTTAGCAGCTGCTGAGTCCATCATGATTCAGATGCCTGGAAAACTAATGTTTGGCACACATGAGTTTGAAATTGAATCAGACCCTGCCAGCTCAGTTTTCTGGTGGGAGCTCTTTCTCAGCTGTTGGAAACAGGTCCATGGAACTCTAGGTCCATGCAACTCTGCAATCGGAAGTGGTGCAAGAAGTGTTTCTGTTTGCCGTTCGAGCCACCATCTGTAGACACAATTGAAATCGTCTGACTCGTCTTCTTTGGACGAGCTCTGCACGTCTGTGGTTGTAGACCTTGACTGCAAGATGCCACGACAGGGCGGTTCCCGCGACAATGCAAGTCAAAATCGAGTCACGAGGAGCTGTTCTCGCTCTCTGGCAGCATCACGTCTGCCATGAGTAGAGCTTGGGACACCTTTGCGATGCAGACAGACGTACCATCACAGCGCAGCCAAGGCTGGGTGTCTGAAGCACCTCCTTTTGACTCGATCGCGCAGCGTTATGGCGCGGCTTCTCCAATCTATTGAGGGCATCATCTGCAAGCCTCCACTCTCACTCATCACAGATCGGCTTCACCTTGGCCTTATCCTTGTCCGATGCATCTTTGCAATAGTCGCGGAAGGCATCCCTCATCACGGGAGGAATGACATATGTAGCGCCTGGCACATCAGGACGTAATCAGACCAAGGTTTTCGGGATGTCTGCACAGGCCTTGCTTCTCCAAGGCCATGGCGGCCACTCCACCATTCCGTGCTTCTTCGTCCTGCAGATCACTGCCCGCTGCCCACGACAGGGCGCTGCAGAAACTTCACTGCCCCTCGGCGTGGCACAGGCGGGTGCACACGGTCTCAAGTCTTGGCTCGGCCGCTCGGCCTCCGCCCTTCTCTGCGCTGTATGTCTGACAGCAAGTGTTCAGCAGAAGAGTTCATCTGACATGTGTGTCCTCGAACCCAGTTGGAGGCGACGCTGGACTTTGGTTAGTTGACAGAGTATCGTGACGGAAGGTCTCCTGGATTGTGGCATCAGGGTGGTCCAGCAGCAGTTTGATTCCAGTGCGCGCAGCCTCTGATGCCTGCACACCCAGGTGGCACGACGCTGAGCCCTGAGTCACAGTCCGCCCTCCAAACCCTGGTCGCCTGGCCTGGAAGCCGATATTGATCTGGATCAGTCTCCCGCCAATCTCCAAAAGAGCAAAGCATGCGGCAGATGGCTCCAGAGGGGACGTGCGCGCTGCACCCGTCCAGGCCTTTTGCTTCACTGTCGAGCGCATGGTCTCGCTGGCTGCCTCCAGCGGCATCGCGGAGAGCTCGTCCAGAATTCCTCCCTGGAGCACCCACAAGACACAAGATTCGATGATGCAGACTGGGCTGCTAAGCGGAATGCCGCGCCCGTCCTTGTTAATGAGGAAAGGCAAGTATGCGTTTGGCATGCCCATGAAGTAGCGCTGAAGCCCGGTCCTCGGAGACCAGAGCACCAGTCACCGAGTCACCAGTCTCAGCGAAACCAAGACCCTCCTCCACAGCAGACCTTGCGAGCCTTACCCCCGGACAAGTCCATCGCACTGGCAAGAAGCACAACACTCGAGACTTCCGCAACGGGACGGCCGGCCAGGATGCCAGTAATCATGGCTGCCTGAACGGAACTACGATGCTAAAGCCTGCTTGACATAAATTCACTGGCCTCTTGGCTCGCAGTGTACGGCTGACTAAAGTCAATCCACGTAGCATCACCTGCACATCAGAGAAGTCACTTCGGAGTACGCCAAAACTATCCAGGCAACGCTTGCCTGGAGACGGGAAGCCATTCGAAGCCAGCACCGAGTGCACCTGGGTACTGACCCGGGGAAATGGACACTGACATCCCCCCCTTTTCCCTAACATTTCAAGATGAACGGTTGTTCCCAGCACGCACTCCGTTTCCAGATTGGCAATCTGTCGCAAATACAGGCAGGTCTTGCAGGAAGTTGTTCCATAACCTTGTCAACACAACACAGCCTCACATCACGTCCTCTTGCAGAAGGCTTAACACAGTCAAAGGAAAGCTACTGGTTCCAAATGTTCAACGCCATTCGCTGTCCTTCAAGACAGCGGAAGTCATGGCAGGAAATTGTCATAGCCACATGCCAAGGGCCATGAATGGACACAGAATCTTAATCACCTGGACTTCCTTCACTTGATAATGTCAAGGCCAACCAGCGAGTCGAAAAAAAAACACACACAGACACGGACACACATGCACTCGCATGTAATATGGAATCAAATCAACCCAACCAGTGTCCTGTTTTACGTCGCTTTGTTACCTGGAGCTTGAAGAGGCCGCTGATACAGTGCGCGTACGGTGGCCGCCCCAAGACAGAGGCACAGACCAAGAAGCCCCCACTCGTCCCTAATTTCGTTACTCCTGTTATCCAAAGCGGCGCTTCGGGTCACAGTGTCGTCGAGCTTGGGTTGGTGTGGAAGCATGTCAGAAGTCAGAACTTAGACTTCATTGCTGACCCACGATGACCATGCACCGTTCGGTTCTCGAAACAGTGCCTCTAGCTGCAGTCTCGGGCGCTGCAGCCTGTGTGGAGACCAAAGGATGAAGCACCTGCAAGTTTGGAGGTTTAAAGGCTTTCGGATGGTGTCTGGAGAGGGAAAGCAGATGGGAAAGCCTGCCTGCTACAATGGCTTCGCAGAACATCTGAATGACTCTTTCGTTGCCACCGCTCCAGGACGAACTTTACAGTTACGGGGTCTGGCCAAAGGCAGCCGAGGCACGACAACTTTGGACTTGTTAGGCGCAAGCTCGTTGCCCCACTCGAGGAGTAACTGCCATGTGCGTGAAAGTAGTATCGGAACGCAAGCATGACGATGAATGCTCGGCGGCCTTCATTGCGTCAAGCTCATCCTGATTGAGAAAGCCGTTGCCCAAGTCCACCTCGAGGCTTCAACTTACAGCAGATTACAGCAGCAAGGCTGCCATGCGACAAACGTACGTTACTTACAGCAGCTTCGCAGAGGGATCGCCTCATCGAAGAAGAGAATGTCGGCTTTTTGCTCTCCGATCTCGTGCTTGATGCTGTCTTGGCCTCTACTCTACACAGCCCTGTGTCTCGAAGTTTCAATTCTGGTGCACACATGCACATTGACACTGAATCCATTCAGGTTTTCCGAACTTTCCACCCCAGTCCCTCTCCGAGCATTCAAACGAGCGACGTTCCTGAAGCAGCCGCAGCTGCTCCGCCTGCAGCCACTGCATCGCACCGCCAAACCAGGAACCAGGGCTCAAGGGGACATATTCATGACGTATCAGACGCATCATATTCATTCGGAGGGAGAGGGGTTCATGCTGTAACGGGCACCTTGACTGCTGACGTGCCGTCTTCTGCGTAGCCCTTGACGTAGTCGCCACGGTTCTCCTTTGTCATGCCAACCTTCGGGGCTTCTCAGGCCGTGCAATGCCTGTCCTGCCCGAAGCCCGCCTGGTCCATGTACCATGACCGCAGATCGAAGCTGGCCTTGGACTTATAGACGGGGTCCTCCATTGCCAGCCTAGTCACCACGGCAAAAGCACAGCTTCCACATTGACATGCCGTCACGCAAACCCATTGCAGATGGGCAGCTTGATCGTCTCGGTCTTGCCGACCCCACCAGCTCCCACGACCACAAGGTTTTGCCCTTTCGAAAAAGAATCGAAAACGACAGCTCGGCCTAGCCCCGCTTGTCCTGTCCAATCGCCCAAACTGCCCACATGCCTCTCGAGAAGCCGACCTGTAGTCGGCTGAATACCTGCGAGAGCTCTGACCGTCGGCCGCTTAAGCGCAGGCTCCAGTTTCACCATCCAAGATACGGAAGTCGGATCGTCTTCCAGCGTCTTCGCAGCCTCTGCGAAGCGGCCTGGTGACTTTGGCGCTTTTGTAAGGATCCTGTGTAGCTGTGTCTCCTATATCGATACACAGAAGGCCGACCCCACTTCGCGTGCATATGTTACACTGTTACACGCTGGAGTCGTTAGTCGTTGGAGCATGACTCTGAAAATGTGGGCCTTCCCGCATGTCCCCGAAGAGGGCGACATCGCCTGTGCCAGAAAACAAACGCAAGGGCGTAAAAGCCCTGCCGGTGCAAAGGACGTGCCCGCCTTCCAGCGCCTCGAAGGCGTCGAAGGCCTCCTGGAGCTCGGCGCGGAGCTGCAGCTCTTCCTGGAGCTCCAGCTCGAGCTCCTGCAAGGCATCGGCCCATCGGCCCATCGGCCGCTCTGCCGGTCTGCTCAGCTCCGAATCTGCCGCGTCCTGCTGGATCTTGGCGAAGCTTTCACGATACGCCACCCCGGAGAGGGCAGCACATGACAGCAACACTGTGCCCAGCGCCATTGGAGCAGAGTTTAGCAGCACATCGTTGAGTTGCTTCAAGCTTGAAAACTGAAGGCTGCGATGGTAGAGTCCAGGCAAGTGACAAGAACGACCCCTTCCAGACTTGATGTAAGCTTCCGGCCGCCACGGTGTTCGAGGCGGTGCCTTCAGCAAGACCCACCAATTAGGTCCCACAAAATCGGAGAACCTCCCACCTGCATGGAGAAGGCTGCAAAGAACGGCAGCACACTGCATTGCCGCAAAACATGGCCCTGGCCCCTGCAGGCGGGTTCCTGCTGATCCCCGATAGGTGAACGGACCAGCAGTTCTCTTTCGCTAGTCGCTAGTCAGATGCGATGCAGGCTGCAGATGCCGCAGGCTCATCGCCCGGTCTTCTCGGATGCACAGTACTGCTTGTATTTGCCCGGCTCAGTCTCAGCATGAGAGACACGCCACAACTGACAAAGCTTGATACAGGTAGCGCTGCAGGCACGCCTCATGTGGGATCCTACCGGCTCGGTCGGACAGCCAAGGATCATCGGACCCGGAACCGAGCGAGGCAGTGCTGGACCTCCGCCTGAGACTCCTCAGCAAAGTCCACGTAGGCATGGCCCAGCCTGTCACTGGTACTGGGGAGAAGGCCACCTGCGTGAAGTCTGGTGCCCAGGCCTTTCACCAGAAGCCTTGTCAATCTTGATACAGACTCGCTTCACCTGGCTCAAGCTGGAAAGGTGCATGCAGCAGTATGAACTTTCTTAGTCTTGCTTGTGGTCTTGGCGTGACTAGCAGCAGCGGATCTAGAAGTTGTTGCACGCTGAAACGGCCTCCCCGCACTCCTTGAAATGCTCGTACAGCCTTGCATAGCACACAAAGGTCGTGGCACCAAAAACCGCCATGAGTGCCATGGCTCAACTCGCCGGGATGCTGTTCTGGCCAGATTTCGTCCTCTCCTTCCAGGCCACCCACATAAATCGAGCACTCTGGCGAGTACCTCCAATGCTTTTGGCAGGCAGGCGCAGGAGCAGCCGCAGTAGCAGGAGCAGTAGCAGTAGCAGTGGTAGCAGTAGTAGCAGTAGTAGCAGTAGTAGCAGTAGTAGCAGTAGTAGCAGTAGTAGTAGCAGTAGCAATAGTAGCAGCAGTAGTAGTAGTAGTAGTGGTAGTCCTTCATGCGCGGTGCAACCAAAGCTTAGGGTGGCCGAATTTCCACTCCCCCTTAAGAGTAGCTTGTTTGTTGCCTTTGGCCATCTCCACATGTGTCTGGCTTTCCACTCGACTGGCCCGGAAGTACTGCCTGCTGTATCTGCCGTATTTCGCCGTCTGCACTCATATCCCGTTTCAGGATCCCTTCGTTTGTTCGTTGAAGGTTGCCCCTTTCCAGGGGCTTCGAATCACAAGCTGCTTTGCTGCATGCCAACACGCCAGACAAGGGGTTGAAGCGAGTTCTCGATGTGACTCTGGGGTTTGCACGCGTTGGGAAAGTCTTCACGACTCCCGCCAAGGCATGCTCGACCCCCACCCAATAGCTACTGCCATGAGCTCATCCCACTCACGCACTCACCATACAAGAAATGAAACTTGCGCACTGCTCCCGCATCGCCAAGGAGATGGCATGCGATAGGCCGGCTTCCTGTTTTTGCTCCACCGTTTACAGACGAGAACAAAGCTGCACACGTGCCTCCGGTGGAGGTTGCGCAGGTGGCACTGTCTCGCCAACGGGGATGGCCTCATCAGATGACTTGAACTAGACCGGTATAATCTTTCCAGGCAGGTCTCTGACTCTTGCAATTGTGCCAGGCCTGCACAGCGCACACGATCTTTCTCCCGCTCAGCTCTATAGGCTCTACCCCCGAGCTCGGAAAGATTCCCCGTTGCGAAGTATGAGACAGAGGCTGCCGACAGGTCGCGGTAACCCGTGGCGACATCTGCAGCCACATAACATTAAAGATGAATTGGAACTGATAACAAAGGATGCGGCAATGGCAGTGTTGCCACATCAATTCTTCGGTGTGAGTAGCCTGTAAGCTGCTGCCAGGCAGTCAAGGAGTGGCGGCAGAAGCTCCGGATGCGCACTGGCACGACAAGAGCAGATCACAGACCCGTACGTGACTGGATTGGCTTGCAAGTTGCAAGTTTCTACTTCGGAAAGTAAACTCAGAGCCCATGTCCATCGCAAGCCATGCTCGCAAGACATCAAGCAAGCGTTGTATGTCGCGATCGTCGCATCCACCGACGACTGACTCATACCCGCCAGGATTGTCATAGCCTCAACAGCAGGAGTACCGATATGGGCTACCCAGCTACTCGGCTACAGGTTTTACAGGTGAGATGAGACTACAACCAAAGTCAAAGCGAAAGCCTGCCACCATCGCTGTCCTTTCTGGCATGCGCTGACGCTGGCGTTGTAAGCGACGACATCGGGTTCCATGCATTTTTGACATAGCTGGTCAAAGACGAACAAGGCCCAGCTCCATTGCTCGCTGTTCTCCTGAAGCCGAAGAAGCAGTTTGTCATACAAGGTCTGCGGAGCTTGAAAGTGCAAGTAACTCTGCATTAACTCCAAGACTCACAGGCGGTCATCACGGCACTGAACATCACGAGAGTGCTCTGCACGGATGCCTCTATGCTTTGCTCCACGAGTTGCAGCGCCTGCTCCCACTGATTGCCCTGGGCACACGCACTGATGGCAGCACCGCACGATGCTACAGACAGCTCCAGTCGCTCTTGTTTCAGTTCGCATAGGAGGCAGAAAGCACTTTGCCACAAGCCTTCTTCTCCACAAGCGGCGATGGTCGTAGCATATGTTATCGCCGTCGTCATGATTGTCTGTGTTCGCACGTTCCTTCCTAAATTCAGTGCTTGCTGCCACTGCCCCGTTTTTTGGCAAGCCGAAATCGCAGAGTTGTAGGTGATGATGTCCCGGCGTAACCCTCTGCCGAATTCCGTCGACACCTGCAATGCTCCTTGCCATTGAAATCCCGCCACACAGGCACCCAGACAAGAGTTGTATGTTACGGAGGATGGGCTCATGGCTCCAGTGAGCAGGTCTTGCAAGAGCTGGCAGGACCACTGCCACTCACTGCATCGCCCACATGCACTGATGGCAGCGTTATGCGCGATGACGTCCACCCGCATGCGTCGAAGATGCAAGTCTGCAAGGAGTGACAAGGCCCAAAGCCACTGGCCGCATTTCTCGCAGGCTGTGAGCACTGAGCTGCAGGCGACAATGCTGAGCTGCAGACGCAGCATGCACATCTCCTCAAGCAAATGGATAGCAATCCTTGGATGGGTGCTCCGGGGCTTTAACCAGCTGATGGAGACATGCCTGGATCGGAAAACTGATTCCTTCGTTTTGTTGGCGTTGCGATGCGTCGCGGCTGAGCGCGGCTGCACGTGCGTTCTATCAAAAGTGTAGGTTTTTGCTCCAGCAAACCAAAGTAAGAACAAAAACAAAGGTCTCGAAGAGCAGGGAACAAAGACTACGCATTGCGGAAGCCTTGCTGAGGACACAGGATTGCGCAGCGTATGCTTGAGCTACATGCTTCCGTTGATCTGTTGCTCAAGCCCCCTAAACTTGGCCGCGTCGAGGTGGAAGCTCATGGCTGATGTGGAGCACACTCGAAACAAACCTGCATCTGAATTACTCACCAAGAATCTCCCATTCCAAGCCCTTCTCACAAGAGGAGAGGGTTGCCCCATAGGCTACCGTGTCGCTTTGCAGCCACAAATCCTTCTGCAGCAAGACAGTGCTATCTGCGAGAGTGTGAGATGCATCCTTGCAGACCTACGACCATGGCATACCTTCCACTTAAGGCCCTATCGTACCCGGCATATCCGACCGGTTGTCCACGACCGAATCTCGCGTCGACTTCGGTCAATTGAATCGACGAACGGCAACCAGATTGTGCGGGCCTTTCGGAAGCGGTGGGACCTGTTACCTCCTAAACCGCAGCTATAGCCGAAGGTACGAGACTGTGTCTGCCAGAAAAGCACTCCAGACTGGGGTCCTTCGCATGTCGTGTCCTCCGAGTGTGTCCGGATACGGGCGGTGCTCCCTGCCCACCCCTTGTAAACTCCCACACCCCGTTCGCCCCGGCATGGGTCAAATGGAAGAGAGAAAGGTTTCACAAGCTGCACCAGGTCCTGAAGCTGCTTTAGCAGACCAATCGCCAAAGGCCACCGACTATCATTGTGGCAGGCATTGACCGCAGCTGTAAAGGTAACCACGTTCGGATCCAGCAGGTTCTGCTCCAGGCTTGAGAACAGTAGCAATCCTTTCGGCCAGCGTTGACCCTTTTGGCATGCACTTATGACAGCACTGGACGTGACTATATCGGAGAGAAGGCCCCGCGACAGCAGGTTCTCCACCAAATGCAGAGCTTGCTCCCACCGGGCGACACCCTTCTCACACGCACTGATGCTGCAGTTGTAGCTGACCACATCCTCTCGAAACCTCAACTCCCAGATGTATCGCAGCAGTGCCAGTGCCTGCTGCCACTTGCCCGCCTTCTCACAGCCACTTATGGCTGCATTACATGCAGCAATGCTGGCCTTGTCATCCTGCACCAACACCGCAAGCAGTATAAGGGCTTGCTGCCACTGCCGGCGCTTCACAGAAGCCCATATAGCCGGCAGGGAGCACATGCTGTCTTTGTGCGACATGCTGTCGCAACCACTACGAATTCCGGGGGCGAAAGCAACAAACCAGAAGTCCTCAGCCGAGACACGATTTCCGAACGGCTTTTCGGCAGAGGGAAAGCTTGCAGGCAGGTGATTGATCTGCTCTTGCTGCTAGAAATTTGTGGAGCTTCGTGTTCCGGGTTGATGTGGTACATGCACCACTTGGTTGTCGTCAGTATGGAACAGAGCTCAGGCAACCATGGCAATCGAATTTCGGCTTTATTTTACTCACGCAGAAAGATCAGAAAGTTGCTGGCTTCTGCCGATCGTGATCTAACAAACTGCCTTTACATGTTGTGAGCAAACGTGCTCAAGTTCGGACATACAAGTCTACTCATCAAGTGTACAAAGGTATGAGGACGAGCATGTCATACACAAGATCTCGCGCTGTAAAGCTTGGGCACTCCGGTGCCTGCAGGAACTGCCTTCATGAAAGGACGCAATCAAACTTCATCACTCCTCCTTGACCGATGCCTGCGGCGTAGGTCACGATTCAAGCGTCCTTCCATCGGTGGAGCCACTGAGACACCTGGGGTTTTGAGGCCAAGATATCCCATGTGAGCTCCGTTCTTCCAGCGAGTCGTCGATGTCGCCAGACATAAAGGACATAACGGAGTTGCCTGGTAGTGGGGCGCCCCTCCGGAGGCGGTTCATCGCCTAGAAGCACACCCAGTCGTCTTACCAGGTCTTCCTTCAAGCCAGACACGGCCCTTCCTTCCGCTTCCAAGCCAATCTTCAAACTCTTCACAGTAAGTAGCTCAAGGACGTCCTTGATCACACGTTCACGTTCAAATTGGCCGGGGTCATCACGAAAGGGGCTCGGCGTTGGTGAAGGTGTTCTCCTCCGTGGAATCGGGGGTGTTGATGGTCGAGTACCCCCAAACACGCTGGTTCGGGACGGAGTTCCCAAGGGCTCTGGGGGCCCCTCTGGTGTTCTTGGAGTCATAGCTCTCGCTGTAGTGGAAGGTCTTGTATCCTCCCGCTCCTCGCGTAGAACTCCCCGTAGAGTCCTTGCAATCTGCTCCGAGTTCACGGTGTCCTCCTGCTCCGCCCACTTCTCTATCTCAGCCTCCGCTGCTGCCTTCGCCAATTCACGTAGCTTTTGGATTCTCCTCGCCCTCTTCGATCCACAGCACGCTGGAACCATCCACTTGTAGCATGCCCTTGCCGCCTCCCACATCGCGATAGCAGCAACACAGGACAGCATAAGCATTGTGATCAGCTCCATCGTCCCGGTGACCTGCAGAGGTTCCTTCTCAGCCGCCACCGCGAGTGACTGCACCGCCAGCAAAAGAAGAAACAGGCAGCCCAACTTCAAGCACTGAACCGCCTTCTTACCGTCCAGATCACTAATGCCCACCATATTCCATGTTCCAAGTAGATGCAAAACCTTGCTGTGTAACTTGGTAGGCAAATCTGCGGGTTGATCTTCTCCAGCCAAGTGGTTCACATGCAGTTGCCCACCAGCAATGCGATCCAGAACATAGGAGTGGCGAATCCTCAAATGTCTGGTTCTCCAGCTTCCGGTGGCACCGTTCATGATGTTGTGAGCCGCCATGTTGTCTATGTACAGCTTGGGGACTGCCAGATTTGGAACAATCTCCTGGAGCATGGCCTGGGTAGACTCAAGCAGCAACGCACACGTAGAACCCTCCATGAGCTCAGCTTCACAAACCGACATAGCCACCATCGTCTGCTTACCTGCTTTCCAGGAAATGGGTGTTCGCCCAACCATGACCAGACTGCAACCAAAGCTCTTGCCGCCGAACGGCGCAAACGAGGCGTCACAGTAACCAGACAACCTAACCCTGAAGCCTGCATCCTGTGACTGCTCTGTGGACTGCTTCGGCTCTGTGGACTGCTTCGGCTCTGTGGACTGCTTCGGCTCTGTGGACTGCTTCGGCTCTGTGGACTGCTTCGGCTCTGTGGACTGCTTTGGCTCTGTGGACTGCTTTGGCTCTGTGGACTGCTTTGGCTCTGCCTCGGCTTCAACCTTCAACTTGAGACCCGCAGTCGCGTTCAAGTAGGCCACAACCTTCAAGCCCACATTGTAGACCTTCACAGGCTTCTTCGCCGTCATTCCGGCCATATAGTTCGTGACGTAGAGAATATCCGGGCGAGTACGGTAGGCAAGCCATAGGCATTCACCTGTGATCTTCTGAGCCCGGGTGAGCTCCTCCGCGCTGAAGTTCTCGGCCTCACCATCCATGTCGGTGTCCTGGATCCACTCCTTGGGGCACGGCAAGCCTGCCCTCTCCTCCGGGTCCAGTCCGTGAAGTCGGACCAAATTGGCAACATATGCCTCCTGGCCAAGCGTGAACGTGTTCTCGTCCTGGAACAACTCCATCCCAAGGTAGCGAATACCCTGATCCGAGAACTCCAGTGCTGAGCACGGCCAAATCTCCGCAATCTTGGCGTGGAGAAGGATGATCAATGCCCTGGCCGCCAAGTACAATAAATCATCCACGTAGGTCACCAGGAGTCCTCGGAGTTGAGGTCGTTCAGCATCAGGTGGTAGTTGTAGGATCATCCAAAGCTCCCCGTCCGTGATCAGCGGTTTCAGCCAAATCCTTCCACCAGGGGCCTCGACACTCACCTCCTTCAGAGTCCTCGTTCTGTGGTTAGCCCATAGCGCCGGGCTTTCACGCAAACCGTGGAGCGCCTTCTTTACCACAAACACAACGTTGTCCGGTACGAGCTTCGCCTGCACGAGGATCCGAGGGGGTATCACTCCATACGTTGGCCTGTCCGATGGCCACTCGGCCTGGAGGAAAGCCGCTGAGACATCAGTGGCAGCTGCACGCCATCCAAGGCTGGACGCAAGTGCCAAAGCCAGGCGGAGCGCCTCAACGGAGGCGCCGGCTGCATACAGCTCTTGTCCATTCAAGGACTGGGTGGCCAAGTTGCCACATATCACGATTCTGGCTTTGCGTTTCCAGCGCGCCCCCTTAGACTTCTTCTCAGCCTTGGTCTCAGGAGCTGGAGGCTTGACCGTAAACACGACTTTGCCGGGGATAAGTATCAGCGACCCGTCATTTACAAGCTTCTTCGCATCTGCCATGGGCCGGGACTCGATCGCATTCGTCTTGGCCTCCAGGTTCGCGAGCTCCTTGTTCATAGGCTCAATCCATTCCTCGAGATTGGTCTTCACCTGGTCCAAGGGAACATCCAGGGTGACATCTAGATCCTTCTTGAGGTTGATCAAGTACTCCTCGATGTCGCCGATCTCCTTATCATCCGTGACGTTGGCTACCTTGAGGTACAGATCATTGCACCTTTTCTCCACTGACCGAACTTGGTCCTCAACATCCTGGATGAGCTCCCGGACCACCACGTTGATCTCCTTGATCTCGTCCCGAATGGTTTCGCCAACAGTGTTGAACTCTTCAGCCAGGATCTCCTCCTCAGCCAGAAACTGTTGAAGCCATTCGCGTCGTTCCTGGAGTCTCCCAAGTACATCGTCCTGTAGCTGCTGCAACTCCTGACTAATTTCATGGGCCCTCTCCTATCGCTCTTCCCCAGGGTCCTTCATCTGGAACATGACTGCGTCGGGGCCATCCCTTGGTTCAGACAGGTTCATCATCTTGAGGATGTTCCGCTGCAGTTGCTCTGGGACTTGTAGCGGTAGAGGAGGTGGGTTGAAACCGTAGTCCAGGAGTTTCACGTAGGCGTGAGGTTTCAATCTAGTAGATCTTGGAGTGAAAGACGTCATAACTAACCGTTTTCCTTCCCAGTCCTCGGTCTGGTGGAACCTCCGGGGGTTGATCTTGATGGGAACTCCAGGATGTAGGTCCATCACCTTCCCACGACGCCAATCTCCCTTTGGTAGTTGCCGCCACTCGTCGTCCACATCGTAGTCCTCTGGTTCGGACTCAACCCAAACTCCACCTCCACGCTCGCAAGGTAGTAGAGGAAGTAGCACGTTGTTGCGGTCGGCATGGTTGTGGACATCCCGGTGTATCTTCATCCCAACGTCCTCAGTCATCAAGATTGATGAGAAGTCACTTTCTCCAGTGAGGTGGGAGAACGCCTTCACCAGGTATAAGGTGGCCCAAGGGAACCGGTCAGTGTCCAAGGTAGCACCGCATTGACCTCCATGCGTATACTGGCCAATCAACCATTGGAGCCCTTCACCCTGAGTCGTTCTTGTAGTAGATCTCGCGTAGGGTTTCAAGAGCTCCCACATCGCAACCACGCTCTCCAAGTCATAGCGCTCGGAATCCATAAGCTCCTTCGCCTTGCGATCTACTTCCTCCTTCGGGTCGGTGTCCAGCTGGGCCAGTCGGGACTTCCCTCGAATCCTCCTCACCGGATCTTCAACCTCCATTTCAAAGGGCCCGTGCTCGACCAAGTCATCGGAGTCCACAAGATACGGCTTGATATGCACCGACGTCGTGTAGCTTCCATCATCATGACGGACCACTCTGCCTCCACGGACGTCCGAAGAATACCCAACGAACTTGCCTGCCCGCCAGCGTTCAGCAAGATCACAACTTCCACCCTCTCCGAACCTCTTGTGTTTCACGTGCACTGGTGCCCCAAATGGCACTGCTTCATCGGTTCGGTCTCCGAGTGCCAAGTCTCGCTGTCTCCTGGCAGAGAACTGTGCAGCGAGTGGCCAGCATGACATAGGCAAGGAAGCTGCTCGGAGGAGCGTTTTAACCCTGCCCTTGATGACCCGGACCAGTGCCTCCGCCCGACCGTTTTGCTGAGGCTGCTGACTCTCTCCAGTCGTGGCCAGGATGTCCCGGTCAGCCATCCATGCCCTGGTCTCCTTGGCCATGAGCTCCCTGCCCCGGTCGCTGTGGATCCGCACCAGAGGAAGCCCTTGCTGCCGAAGCTGAAGGTAGATCTGCTGAATCCGCGACCTAACTTCCTTGGCATCTGCGATCATAAGGAACGTGCCCGCTTCGTACATGCTTCTCCCAGTAGGCCAAATCTTTCGCGTTCATCTCCCTGGGGCCACCGAGCTTGCACATCGTCACTTCTTCCCTGCGCCGGTCGTGTTGCCTCCATTGCACCATTGAATGCGCCAACCCTGCCTTGAGCTCAACGGGCCACGCTGATGCAGGGGTCTTGTAGTTCAGGTCCGGGATCTGCCCTTCGCTCACCGACACTCCATCAGACAACTGGAGCGTGCCCGCCATAAAGTACACACCATCCCTGGCCGCAACCGCATGATACTTCAGGTACCGAAACTCATCCTTGAAGCGCGACCAGGTGAAGCTCGTCCAGATAGGATGCCAAGTTGGGGCCTCCATCATGAAGAAAGGCGAACATAAGCCTGCAGTCGTTGCTCCGGTGTGTGCAACCAGCCAAAGGAGCAGCATCCGCCGATACAGCATGGAGCCAGACTCCGATCCTCGAGGTGGGCCTCCAAGTATCCCTTCGATCTGTCCCCTTGCCGCTGCCCACATAAGAGCTCGCACGGCCGGCGTGTAGGTGCGGAGGTCAAAGGCCTTGTTGTTCCGGATGTCCATTCGAACCACAGTGACATCATCAGACTCTGCGTGGGAAAACTCGGCGCCCTGCTCATCTCCATTGTACAAGTGAACGATCCACCTCGTCCTGAGAAGCCTCTTTCTCATGGTCCGGTTCCAGGGGAGTGCCTTCAAGTAGTGAGCACCTGCCTCATCAGAGAGGAAAAGCTTGTCGTCCACGCCCAGAAGAGCTGCAATGTCTTCTTCCAAGGGAGCTTGTAGAGGAGCTTCGGGGTCCAACAACATCCGCCTCAAGGTTGCCCGTTCACCGGTCTCTACAAATGCTTCAGCGTGATCCATCCACGTGGTGACCGTCTCCTCTTCCGACGCGATCATCTTCAGCACTCCCTCTTCCGTTTGCTTCTCAAGCCTTCCCAGTTCCACTTGTTCCAAATCCGCAATAAGTTGAAGTGCTTCAGCTTCACGTAGCACCGGCGTATCCCCCACGAGCTTCGTGGGCAAGATCCCGTGGACCGGGTGTCGCACCTGGAGCCCCCTTTTTCTGCTCCACTTAAGCTCGCAGCCAAGAGAGCTGACGAGGCTCCCGAGTGGCAGGATAATTCCTCCTCCCTGTTCCTCTTCCGAGAGGAGAGTGCCCCCTTTGTTCTGGCGGAGGTAGACTGTCTTCCCATCGGCCAGCTGCACCCTGACCCGGCGAGCCGTTGACGCCTCCTCCCTGGAACGGGGAGCCCGGTAGGCATGTGAAGCGCCGCTATCCAGTAGCGCCATTCCGTGGCTTTCATTCAGGCCCTGCGACCTCAGTAGCAGCTCCAGGTCCATCACTGCATCATCCGTCTTCGCCTGCATCGGTGCCAAGCGCTTGATCTTAGCCAGGAACTGCTCTGCCAGCTCTCTGATTTCACCCGCATTCTGAGCCTGCTGCGCATCCGCAAAGAGGATCGTTGAGGCCGCCGATGAAGGTTCGCTGGAAGAGGTTGTAGTACCTGTGGTAAGCGGATGCTCCAACGTGGACGCTGCAGAGGTCGAGGCTGTGTTCATGGTAGCCGTAGAGGGTTCAGGGTTGTTCATCACGTTCGCCTGGGCCACAGTGGGCGTAGTCGGTTCCCCTTGCGACCTCTTCTCAGTTGATCCCTTGGGACCACCCTTCCCTTTGGTAGCGGAGCCAGACTTTGTAGGGCAGTCAGCTTGTCTGTGGGTTGTCGCCCCGCATGTCCAGCAGCGTGCCTTCTTCTCCTCCTTAGTCGCAAACACATGGCCGTACTTGCAAGCCGATCCCCTTCTGCAACCGTCCGGTGTCAACCAAAACTTACAAGGCTGCTTCTGCCCTTGTCCCTTCCCAGAAGGCGAGGTCGAGGAAGACGCCGGGGATCCTGGATCCACATTGGCACCCTTGAGCTTGGCTTGGGAGTCCTTGGAGTTGATAGGGATCACTTGCTGGAGCTCGGCAACCACATGGTCTGCAAACGTCATCACAGCACTCAAGGTCGGCTGGTATGGAAGTCTGAGCTCCTGCTTGGCCATGTTCAGCTTGAAGGCTACGTCCTTGTTGTTCTCAGTGATGTGTCTCGTAGCTCCCTCCAAAGCAACCAACAGCACGGAGCCGTCGGGCAAGGAAACTCCCATCTCGGAAGCTCGGCCCACATGCTTCTTCCATCGTCTCAGGGCAGAGATCATGTCGACCACATTGGTCTGGGGCTGGATGTACTCGAGCTGTTTGATCAGGCTCGCCCTCTCTCTCGCGCCCCCTGGAGAAAACGTTGTGTAAAGCTTGAAGAGGCAGTCCTTAACACGGTTGATCCTCAGCATTGTGATCTCGGCCTTGATAGTCGACGTCATCGAAGCCAGGAGAAGCGCCATCACCCGCTTCTCAAGCCGAGACCACTTTTCTCCATCTACGTCCGGATCTTCACCAACTTGGACCGTCAACCTCTTCAAAGGTGTTTCCGCCTGGAACTTGTGGTAGGCTGTCATGGCTAGCTCGAGATTGGCCGCCCACCACACCGCTGCCTTGTCCGTGATCGAGCCGATGAGCTGGCCCACCTCGTACACCCACTCCAGGAACGCCACCGCACTGTTGTCCTGGTAGGGCTCGGGTAGCTTCGGTAAATCCAAGGAACCCTTCAGCAACTCGGGGTCATGCCCTTCCTTCTTCAAGTGCAGTTGCTGTAGCTGTTGGATCCCTTGGGCCAAAAGGTCCATCGGCGCCACGGAACCTCGCTCATCATTCCTGCCACCACGACTGCCTCCTTGGCCCGCGCTGGGCACTCCATCAAGCTTTCCTGCGACATTCTCGTAGCCGCCACCTGATGTTCGTGCCGCCGCTGGGCTCGGAGACCTCGCCGTAGTCGCCTCAGTCCTCATTCCACTTCCTGGATCACCTCCCCGTCCCCGAATTGGAACAGGTAGTCCAGGAGGAGCCCGTAGGTCACGGCCTGCATACACTCCTTCAGCTCGAAGATCCCCTCGCCCAGTCGACTGGTCTCCTGCCGCTCGAGCTGGCTCTACCCCCACGCTTGTAGGCGCCTGCTCTTCCACCTGCGGTAGGTCCTTGGTCGACTCCGGCTCTCTCCGAACCCGCTTCGATCATCGCCATCAACAGCTGCTTCAGTTCCGCATTCTCCGCCTGAAGCTCATTCATCCTCCCGTCCCGACTTTGGAGTGCCACTTGGACCGCCTTCTTGACTTCTTCCTGAACCACCTCCGGCTGCAGGGACCCATTCGAGGATTGGTCTCCCGCACGTTCAGGCTGTGTAAAGGTCGTGGTCCTCGGCTGCAATTCAGTCATGCACGGGAACTCGGGGTTGTTGAAGGAAGGTGTTGCCAACGACCAGGTAGGAGACTGGGAATACCAGGAGGTAGGTGAGGCAGAAGGAGGGGTCTCATACGTCCAAGAACGGGTTCCAAACCTCTCTGAACCATACCCTTGATCCTCGTAAGCCACAACATCTGCTCCCCCGTGCGCTCCGTCACCTCGCTGGCCTCAACCCTGGTCGTAGTCTCCAGGATCTCCGCATCATCCTCGGCGATCAACCTGGAGGCTCGGGAATGCAAAGCAGTCACCAAAGCATGACGCTGTTCCGCCAGTTGTGCATGGGCTCGTTGCTGCAGGAAGTCCTGTCGAACATCTTCGCTTCCATGCATCGGCACACTGGGCTCACGAACATCTGCAGCTACAGGCAAAGTTTTTAGTAGTGGTCGTCGGTTGATCTGCCTGAGGCTGCTGCTGCGTTACAGACTGCTGCGGTGGTGCTGCTGCTGGTTGGTTGGGTGGTGTTCCGATGCTGTAGTGCTGAGGGCTGGGCTGTCGTTGCTGACCTGGCCTGCTCAAACCCAAAGCTTCTCCCTGAAACCTTCGTCCGTTCGCGCCAGATCCGGTTTCCGAGTTCGCGCCCGTTCCGGTGTTCAGCTGCGATCCGCCACCCGTGATTGTCGCTGCATCTATCCCTACTGCTCTCCTGGCAGCAGTTCCAGCATTCAGCTCAGCCACAGGCCGCGTAGACGATGAAGGCTCATCTGCACCAACCACTTCTTCATTTCGCGAGCCCGTCGTACCAGGTCTGCCTTCCGGGTGATGTGGTAACTGGCTACCTTCAAAGGGGCCACCAGTCACCACACCATTCAACAGAACCTGGCCTTCGGCCATAGCTCGATTCATCGCCGCTCCACCATCCAGTGTCACAGGGCGGGCTCCACCCGCATCCATTCCACCGTAGGTTTGCACAGCTTGTGCCAGGAGGCCTTGCCCTGCACCACCTTGCGTGGATTGGGCGCTCATAACCTGTGGAGCTTCGTGTTCCGGGTTGATGTGGTACATGCACCACTTGGTTGTCGTCAGTATGGAACAGAGCTCAGGCAACCATGGCAATCGAATTTCGGCTTTATTTTACTCACGCAGAAAGATCAGAAAGTTGCTGGCTTCTGCCGATCGTGATCTAACAAACTGCCTTTACATGTTGTGAGCAAACGTGCTCAAGTTCGGACATACAAGTCTACTCATCAAGTGTACAAAGGTATGAGGACGAGCATGTCATACACAAGATCTCGCGCTGTAAAGCTTGGGCACTCCGGTGCCTGCAGGAACTGCCTTCATGAAAGGACGCAATCAAACTTCATCAAAATTTGAGCCTCGGCCTCTCCAGGTGTTGCTTCCTGTCAAAGGTAGACAATAAACACTTCTGCTGTTCCAGAGATGTCAGATGCACCTCTTCGGCAACCATGGCGAGAAAAGATGCTTCGATCGATGAATCCAGGACTAGACGTGCTTGTTTCGGTGCCTGACGCTTGCTAGACTACCAGACTCACTAGACTTCCGTACTCATGCCAAGCTGCTCGTGTGCTGTCTTGGTGGCATGGCAGTCTCGCTGCTCTGCATTTCCCTCGACGGTCTGACAACCAGAGGCGCGCTGCTGTGATGCCAACACTTGCCTGGATCTCGTCAGGAAACTTCCGGTGACATGGCACGCCGACGCATCAAGAGGTCATCGCAGAACCTTTCTGGGGGTCCTTGCTCTTGCGTGCCTTGCGGCAGGTACAGAACCCTTCCCTGGGCCTGGGACCACCAGCCGAAGGGACGTTAGGCGCATCAGCGCTGCGACGTTCAGGGCCCCACAACGCGGGGCGCTGTTTGGGCAAACCCACTCTCGACACAACGAAAGTCAACAGGCCCTCGAACCCTTCGGTCTTGAGACCTCGCACCGCTTGCCATGCGCTTTGGCAGTAGCTGCACTTTAAAAAAGCTCGGACTGCGGATTCAGAAGCGGGTTTCGTTTTTAGCTCCATCAGCATTGCAAGGCCTAGCACGGCCTGATCACTTTCCACAGAATCCGGGCATGGAGTCGGCCGTTCCAATGCAAGCGTGGGAAATCTCAATTGGATCATGAAACATGAAGAAGCGTGTGAAACTCGCAACCGAATGAGGATGCATCCTGCGCTCCCTCAAACTGTGGAGACATGGTCCGACCCGCAACTCATCCGTTTCGACTCCGATGATTTATTCGTACGAGTACCTTCGAAAGGGTCGATGAGCGATGGTGAACCGTCGTCTCAGTTTGAGGCTGCTTGGAAGAACTGCCTCCGGGCAATCACCAAAGTATGCAAGCCTCTAAGAAGTGACAAGACGTTGCCTTTGCACTCCCGGCCTGCTTAGAGTCTCACAAGAGGGAGGCCGTCTGGAGACTGGCTCTTCAAGTAGAGCAGATACTGGCAAGCAAAGCTGAGCATGATAAGCTACACTGCAGGCACAACAGCTCAGACTTTAGAAAATGTTTAGGCTTGTCGATGGCATCGCGGTTTTAGTTTCACAATGCACTCATCCCATGCCACGAAGCTCCATGCCACGGACCTGTTCTGCGCTATTTACGCTGTTTGATCACCAATCTATCCGCTCCTACATGCTGAAGCCCTGCGCTGCTCTTATATTCTCCGGCATACTTGCCTTCACACATGACGAAGTCACCAAACCACTGCTATCCACCAGCGCCAGATGCAACTTGAACAATGAGGGCTTCCGTTCACAAAGATTCCCTCGTTTCAGATTCGCCACCTGATATCACATTGTCACACGTTGGCGGTGCTGAACAGGTGTCCGCTCAGCCCAGATGTCATCTTACAAAAGCGATCATCACGCAAGACTGGCGACAACCATCCAACAATGCAGGTCTCCTTCACGCAAGATCCTCTCGTCTCAGATTCGCCTTCTGATATCACGTTGTCACACGTTGGCAGTGCTGAACAGGTGTCCGCTCAGCCCAGGTGTCATCTTACAAAAGCGATCATCACGCGACAACTGTCGACATCTGTCGAACAATGCAGGTCTCCTTCACGCAAGATCCTCTCGTCTCAGATTCGCCTTCTGATATCACATTGTCACACGTTGGCGATGCTGAACAGGTGTCCGCTCAGCCCAGGTGTCATCTTACAAAAGCAATCATCACGCGAAGGCTGGCGACAACCATCCAACAATGCAGGTCTCCTTCATACAAGATTCTCTCGTCTCAGATTCGCCTTCTGATATCAGGTTGTCACACGTTGGCCGTGCTGAACAGGTGTCCGCTCAGCCCAGATGTCATCTTACAAAAGCGATCATCACGCAAGACTGGCGACAACCATCCAACAATGCAGGTCTCCTTCACGCAAGATCCTCTCGTCTCAGATTCGCCTTCTGATATCACGTTGTCACACGTTGGCCGTGCTGAACAAGTGTCCGCTCAGCCCAGGTGTCATCTTACAAAAGCGATCATCACGCGAAGGCTGGCGACAACCATCCAACAATGCAGGTCTCCTTCATACAAGAATCTCTCGTCTCAGATTCGCCTTCTGATATCACGTTGTCACACGTTGGCAGTGCTGAACAGGTGTCCGCTCAGCCCAGGTGTCATCTTACAAAAGCGATCATCACGCAAGACTGGCGACAACCATCCAACAATGCAGGTCTCCTTCATACAAGAATCTCTCGTCTCAGATTCGCCTTCTGATATCAGGTTGTCACACGTTGGCGGTGCTGAACAGGTGTCCGCTCAGCCCAGGTGTCATCTTACAAAAGCGATCATCACGCGACAACTGTCGACATCTGTCGAACAATGCAGGTCTCCTTCACGCAAGATCCTCTCGTCTCAGATTCGCCTTCTGATATCACGTTGTCACACGTTGGCGGTGCTGAACAGGTGTCCGCTCAGCCCAGGTGTCATCTTACAAAAGCGATCATCACGCAAGACTGGCGACAACCATGCAGGTCTCCTTCACGCAAGATCCTCTCGTCTCAGATTCGCCTTCTGATATCACATTGTCACACGTTGGCCGTGCTGAACAGGTGTCCGCTCAGCTCAGGCGTCATCTTACAAAAGCGATCATCACACAACAACTATACATCAAGGTCTATTATGCCAACAGCGTCATCTGGCAGCACAGGCTATGCTATCCTAGAGAAGCAACCATCATAAGCAAAAAACATGAAATGCACCAATCAACATCGCTTCAGCCCGTGCAAAGCCCGAGCCTCTTCGTCCTCCTCCCGTTTCTGTTTCAGCCACTCTGCTTCCTCGGTGTCCGTCGCAAGCTACCATTAGCCTTACTGAAAGGTATTGGCATGGGGATGCATTGGGTACGGAGCTTGGCCGCCCCGCAGTAGGCCCGAGCAACGTCGTCGACTCATACGCCACGTCCAAGTTTAACATGTCGGAGACGCCTCGAGACAGCGAACGTGCCGCAAGCAGACAATGCTACTGCAAGCGCCAAAAGGCAAACAACTTGAACAACTTGTGCTTCTCAGCTGAGCGCCGATGTTGCTTACAGGAGTGACCAAACAGCCTGACAAGCAAGGCATTCAAAGCTTCATCTTTGGTCTATCTTCCCCTTTCTAGCCAGCAAGCGCGCCCAACATACAGGTTGCTACGTACTTGCGTAACACTCGCATGCCACTATTGCTAGGCGAAGCGAGTCGTACCCAAGCCTCCGCAAACCGATCGCTTCGGTGAGTCCAGCACTGGAAAGATCGGAGTTTTGCTTTCCTGAAGCTCGGGCATGGTTGCACAGGTACAAGTCAAGCGAAAGCATTCAAGCGGTCCTCTGGAACGTCAGAGTCCTCCTCTTCTTTACCAGTCTGGGCAAGCATGGCCTTTGTCACCGTGTCCTCTGCAGCCACGAAACGGTCTTAATCGTCCAGCACACGCAGGTATGAAGAACTGTAGAAACGCAGGTGCGTTTGTGCTGTACATAGGTGTTCAGGTCTACACATCTCAATTCCAGTAGGCATGTAGGACTACAATCTGCTGTAGGTAGCTTCTAGTTTAGACGCTGCTATCTCAAACCGAATGCATTTCGCTGCATGTCTGCCTGAACGAGAACTGACGGACTGAACAGTTGACCGCTTGGATGTGGCACTAGCAACAGCGAATTGGTGTTGACGACCCCTAGCGAATCTTCGTAACAGGTGCTTGTGCAAGAATTGGCTTGAACACGGTGAGAATGTTTACGGTTAGATTAGCAGGCCAACTACAGTATGTGACATTCTGAGACGCATCCTCGATGTCAAAGGCAATCTGCTCAAAGATGTTGGTAGGACATGCCTCCAGTTTCGGTTGGGCACTCTTCACTCTTGAGCACTACCTGAGCTTGGCAGACTCTCTCGCGAGTACGGCTAGCAGCTACATCTGCAAGTGCCAAGGATGCCTGCAAGTGCAAAGAAGAAGACCGGAAGTCACTGCGATTCGTGCGTTAGCAGCTATCCGAAATCTCTGTGCATGGATCATGGATGCAACATGCCAGCCAGCCAGCCAGCCAGTCATTTTAATCCGGGGGCGCTGCACGTGAACCAGCGAAGAAACTGTTGGAGCCAGCGACAGTTACAGCTCGACTACTTATCTTTGGGTAGTGGGAAAGCCTTCGCTGGGCTCCCGAAATCGGAGAACACTTGTCCAGGGCAGCACAAGCCCCGCACAGGCCCCAGCCGGAGGCCGTCCGCGCGTGTGAAGCTTCGGTAAAAAAACGACTCTCTTTCTCTGATGGGCCCTACAAGTGGGATGCCAACTGACGGCTGGAGCTTTCCAAAATGCCTCCCATGTGCGATGAACGAGACCTTGCAGTGCAAACCGGGTCTAAGCTTCCGTGCCTTCTTCCGAGCCTTTTCATACGAAGGCAGCAAGGTTTCGAACGTCTCGGGTTGGCCACTCTCAGGCCCAGTCCGTTGCCCCTCGAATGCTGGAGGCAGCGTAGCCCGAGGTCTTTTAACACAATGGCGCTATAAGGCTTTGGCGAGAGCGGCAATCCTCAGCCTCGGAGTGCCCTTCGGGATCCGGGCTGCTAAGTGAAACCGCCAGTGTCGTTCCCAATGGAAACTCGACCACTTGGTTCACGCGAAATTCGGATGCTTCATGGCTGCACTTAGGGCAGCGGGAGCTCTGGGGCAGCTCAGAGTTGCTGAGTTCGCTGGACATCTGGACACACTAGATTGTCTACATCAGCATATCAGCAGAATAGGTGACAGAATGGAACACGGCGACATGAGCACGGCAACAGCCTAGATGAGCTACACGAACGGAGCAGATGTGGCAGGAAGTCGGGCTGCTCAACACTTCGAGCTGCCCTGCCTCAATGGAAGCATGTTAGGATAAAATGTTCTTACATTCCCACACAGACCTCCTGGTCAAGTGATGAGCGAGATATCACTCACAGTCATAGCAGAGCGGTGAGGCTCTGATAAAATAGTAGATAAGCACTTGTCGCTTACGATAATCCCCATTGTCATAAGAATCGGTTCCCAGTTGTGGAGCTGGTCTCGCATCTGATCCAGAAGGTCAGAAAGCAAGACCATCCAAACCTTCGTTTGGACGGCCATGGACAGCTCTGCTGAAGTTTCCTGAACCGGTTGAGTCTTACACTAGAAGCTACAATAAAAGCTGGCAGGTCTCTACCTTAGATGGCTCAGTATCGGGCGCTAGCTCGAGTCTGATGGGTCCGTCTAACTCCCGAATTTCAATGCCTGGAATAACATAATCTTTTCAAGCAAAGCCGTCCACGGTCGATAGCGAAATCTCCATGGCAAAAGACAAACACTGAATCAAGACCGGCACTTCGCGAGGGCCTGCATGCAAGGCTGACAGTTCAAAGTATCAACGCTACATGCTTCAGTCAGCTCGTTACTGTGATTCCATGTGAGTTCAGCTGGTGCCTCGACTCGGTGTGTAGAAAACAGGGTGCCGCTCATGCGACAGAGTCTACCTTGCAGTGTCAACTCAACTGTTCCAAGGGACTTACACTGCGGGCACAATAACAGCAATAACTGTCAGTAACTACGTGCTGTGTCGCTCTTGATGCACTCAGAGCACTCAAGCAATGCTTGCAGCCGCCTCGGTTCGGCCGCCGTGAGAAGGGGCGCTCAGTTGCGCACCTCCGCACGAGAGGACTTGATGTGATGAGCTGTGCTCCAGTCAAACCTCGCTTCTTCCTGTTACGAAACAGCGGATGTCATGTCCCTGAGGGATCAGCTTGACTGGTTCCCGCACCACATGAACCACCGACACAACACGCACCTGGAATCCTCCACAGCGGAAGCAGCAGAGACCACGCGGCCGTTCTGACGGAGCCTGCGCGGCGAGGCGACCAACACACGAGATATGAGGCAAGACCTGAAATTCCAGGCCAATGCATCTTCCTCTCTCTGATTCCCTCACACCTGCTCGTCATCTGGTTGCTCAAGGGTGTCATATGGCAGCAGCGGCTCAAGCCTCAGGAGGGAGGCGATGCCAGTCAAGGAAGAGAAGCGCAACGAAGCACATCTTGGTTCATCTAAGCATCTCGCTCGCCGAGCTCTTTGCCCTGAAGCCACTCGAAGTCCCAATCCTGACTAAAGAAATTATCGAGCGAACATGGGAGATGTACTGTTCGGAATCAGAACCAGCGAGACCGCATGAATTGCATATCTGGCACAGAAGGTATTCTGCAATTTCGTGTGTCACGAAGCATGCTACCCAGCCTGGATTGGGTTCCCTTCTTCTCGCTCCAGCAGCGCCTTGCCACAGACGAGTCTCTCGCGAGTGGCACAGCACCACTTTGCAGGCCGGGTACTGAGAACAGAACCCTCAGATTGGCGAACTGCTTCCGCAGCATCATGTAGTCGGGACGGTCCTCGAATTCATCACTCTTAAGAACCTGAAGACCACCGCCAAAGCCTTAAGGATGGGTCGCCTTGGCTCCTAGTCCCTCATAGTGCTTGAACCCACTGTCACTTTGCATCTTCCTCCGGCGGTCCTTGAAGCCAAGATTTCTGGCATACTCCAAATAAGCCTGGAATGCCTCTCTTTGTCCCTGACACCTCAGTAGCAGTTGCGTGTTTGTGAGGCCGCCGGTGCTCCGTTATCTCTTCATCAATGCTCCACACACTCCCGCAAAGCTTCAACAATCATTGCAACACCACACAGGAACAGACGTTCGGAAGCTGGGAGCCAGGCAGATCTGAAAGCTCTGTACTCTCCTGTCGAATGAGTCTCTCACACTGACATATCGCATGTGACCTGCAACAACTTGCAACAGTCTCGTCACAGGCATTGATGTGATGTCGATCGGATCCTTCTTCTCTTTGATCTTTTGGTATTTCTCCTGACCAGAAACGTGCAGCAGTCAGGAACGACCGCAAAAGCCGGGGACACTGCGATAACATGGCGAAAACTATGGAGCCTTCTTGGTTCGCGCTTCCAGGCCCGACCAAGGGAGTGAGGAGCGGAGGAAGTAGAGCAGCATGTGCCCGATAGCCTGACATCGCCGGAAGCTTCAGGGTACAAGCCTGTCTTCGGACTGAGGCCTCCAGGTCATCGCGACGACTCTGCTCGAAGCCACGATGGGCGTTTAAGGATGCGTACCTGCTGCGCCCGACACAACTCCGCAAATCGAGCGAGCCGATGTCCCGCCTGGCTGTGCCGGTGAGGCTCAGCTTCTGGGTGGACGGCACATGCTTCTTGTCCCAGTATCTGGCACATCCCGCACGTACAAGTGCCGTTGGAAAGAAGTGGCACCTGGAGCATACAGGCCTCTTGCTTAAGCCGAAATCGATCAGGTAGAGGTGGTGCCTCAGACGAGATGCGGTAAAGAAGACGACAGATCCGCATTTTGGGAATAGCACTTCGGACGGGGGCTAACGGTCGCGAAGCACACTGCGAGCTTTATCCGAGGTGCACTTTGTTGCCAACACCAAACATGAAGTTCTCCGGCTTGATATCCTGAGCGGGAGATCCTTCCAAGTTGAAGAAGAAGTACCCAAAGCAATTCAGAGCATCTGGACAAGCTCTTGGGCCGTAATGGGCATAAGAGAGCTGGCACAGCAACGATTTTGAATTGCCACCGCACCGATGCTAACCTCAGCTAAATCAGCCAAGGTACTCTGTGCACCACTCCTGTGCCGCACACAATGCGTGTCAGGGCTCCGGAACAACCGCACTAGCCGCTCGGTTGCCCCATTGCACTCACAAAAAAATGTCCCCTGGGACCTCTGGAGTGGAGGTACTCGATTCGCATGAGCACCTCGTGATGCAGCCCAGCGCAGTCGTTGCTCTAGTGCTGAGCCCAAGCAGCTCTTTCGCTCTCGGACTATGCGGCTACTCCATCCCTCTTTGTGGTCAACCTACCCCACCTGCTGCGCGACCAGACATGACGTCTTGGATGAAAACTTTCCGCCGCACCTGAGGTTGCTTGGGGCTTGGGGCTGAAGCTCAGATCCCCGCTTGACAAGCTCGCTTATCTGGAAGAAGGCCGAGCAGCAACTGCACGTGATCTTCCAGGCTTTTGCCCAAAAACTCCATGGCCAGGCAATTGAAATTGCCCTCAGAAGTGGACATTGTTCACTGTGCAACAGACAAGTGCAGAGCCGCCAAGCCCTCCCAGCACACTGGAGTGTCTGCCTCAAGAATCGAGAAGCGTAGGACCCCAGCCTCCTGGCCAAAGAAGAAGAACTTGGCAAAGCCCTGAGGTTGCGTAGGGAGCCGCAGCAAGTTCAGCATCTCACCCTGGCAGTGTATTCCATGACGAGACGGCAAACCTAGCCGTGTCCAGTTGATCCAGCCTCATGCCGCAACTGGAGCGACTGGTTCTGCAATGCCTGCGAGTTGAGAGCCAAGGATTCTCCTACCTGTTTGACCATCGAAGCAGTGGAACATGCACGTGAACCTCGAACTTGATGGCTACATCTTCCTTGGTGCCGGTGTGGAAACCCCTGTATACCTTGACAGGCAGGAGGCGGTGCTACCAAGACAACGTAGTGCCCACGTGCATGCCCGATGCCTCACCAAAGCAGCCTGCACCCAGTTTCTTCTGGATCTGAATCCTGATATGCAAAGTTGTCTTGCAGTTCGCATGCTCGAGGCTGTCATTCCGCGCAGGCAGATTCCCGTCCCTCCACTCACATCCGCAACAACATCGGCCAAGACGGCCAAGATAAGCCCTGCACTGGCCATTGTTCAAGGACGGAGGCACTTTGGCTTTGCCAGAGGCCTTGGCGCAGCAGGGTCGGTGTAAGACTAACGCGATACTGCTTCCGAGTATGGTCCGGTTCCAGGTCACAAGAGAAGACCCTTGACAGCACATCGCTTCCTCTGTTTCCCGTCGCGCAGCGCCGGTGCAGAATCCGAGATGCAGAAACTAGATGACATCCAAACGAAGGCTTGGGCACCTCGTCTGTCTTAAGTCTGAGGGGCAACAAGAGCAGCTTCACTGTAGCAAACCTCTTCAGACCTTGCAACCAGATTGTATCGAAATCGCTGGTACGGAACCAGATTGAAGCCCCAGATTCCTCGAACACCCACACACACACAGCCAGCACTGTCCCGCACTCGAACATCACCCAAGCCCACATGATCATGCATCAGATAACTTCGCAGAAGCAGCAGACACGGGCCACGGATCATGTGATGTCATGTGTTTCGCAGGCCGAGCACCCGATCAAGCACACCCTCACTCTACGCTGGGAAGTTCGAAATCCGCCGACAAGCACTTGCACATGCTGGAATCACCAGACCTGGGAATTGCTGTCAGCGCCACTGCCAGCTGCAGTTTCTCGCCATCCAGAGCTCCAGAGACATAGCCCTCGACCGTGGAGAAGTCCCGCCCGCGCAGGCAAAGCAGACTTTGGTCGCTCTCCGTCAGATGAAGCACGGTGTGTATGTGTGGTGCATCTTTACCCGCCTCATCCAGCCGAAGTTCCAGCATTAAGGATGTTAGACTTCCAGCAGGCCGAATTTCAATCCGGAACGGCCTTCTTGCGAAGATGTCTTCTGTCTGCGCTGTGCAAAGATCGGCTCGTAGAAGCAAATAAGGCTCCTCAGAAGCAATTCGATCTTCTTCCAGACGCCCGCATAGCACTGCCACGGAACCTGCTCGTGCTGCACGCGGCGCCAAGTACGCCAGATTCAGACCCAGCACATCATGGAGAGCCTTTTCCTCATCCAGCTCCCTGGAAAAGTCACACCCCGACAAGTGTATGGAAGCAGATCCTGGAAACATCCAGCCGTCGTGGTGCAAGTATCTTTGCCTTGCAGCCAGCACCTGGAGTAAATCTGCCAGCGACGGACGCACAAGAAGACGCTCACAAAGCAGTCCGTCGCAGGCAAGTCCCTCACTCAAGCTCGCATGGCTCGCTTGGTTCTGAAGGTCACCCCGCATCAGTTGGATTTGAGTGCCCTGTGCCGGCACGTTGGCTTCCGCCAAGGATTGTGCCAGTGCCAGATTCTTTACACAGGCATCGACCGCCACAGTTTGAGCACCCAGCAAGGCGCACACCAAGCCCAGGACGTTGGCACCACATCCGAGATTCAGGATTTGTCTTCCCGCCACTAGCTCACGCCGGGACGAAAGCCACTCATGCAGAGCCTCTGCAGCTGTGCGTAAGGCACGAGAGGTCTGCCAGGACATTTCTGAAGATGTCACCACGCGTGAGGCTCCGTCGTCACTAGAAGACATAAGTCGCTTAAGACTCTCAAGCTCTGCACGCATTCGATGAACCTCAGCTTCTGAGGTGCTCACAGGCATAGGATTCTTGCCCCCCTTTCCCTTCTCGTGTGCTTTCGATTCTCCACTTTCGCTCTCACTCTCCTCGACGGCATCGAACAAGAGCAGATCATCTGCCAAGACGGGCATCAGCAAATCCTCGCGCTCCCAGATCGGTGACTCGGCCGTTAGCATTGCCATTGCTGGTACCTCGCGGCACGCAGCTTCGGGCCCCAGCTTCCGCAAGTAGTTCACAAGCCGGATTCGATGATAGTCGGACCACTCGTTCCTTCCCACCCGCCGCCTCAGCGCTTGTAGCGAGAAGCCGTGCGCAGACTCCGCATGGGCCCAGCAGAGCTCTGCGCTGGCAAAAGTCTCTGGTCCAAACGGAGACAAGACTTCCCCGATGTCCTCACCGTCTTGAAGCACCTCTGCTTCGGAACCAAAAAAGGATCCTGCATCGCTCTCTTGCTCCTCGTTGTCGCTTTCGATCGTCTTCTTCTGCAAACTCGTTCCTGTCTGCTTTCCTTTCATGGCCCCGGCGTAGCTTTGCGACTAGCACTCCACACATGAAGAGAACGCTCAGCTGGAGCCCAACGCTCTGTGCACTCGGCTACGCCTGCGGAGCACACATACGACAGCCTAAGACGACAAGTCTGTGCAGAGTTCTGGCAGTTCTCCGAGGCCGCAGCCGAAGACATACCCTGCAGCCTGAGCAATGCGCAGCTGATGAACCCTGGAACCTTCACGCGACTGCTCTTATTTGATAGCAGGAAAGAACAAGTCAGTGACGCACTCGCGCCAAAGCGTCGATTGCCCAACTGGTCAACTGGCGCTGCGCGACTTGATGTCTAAAGCGGTCCGAGAAATGTACAGGTCTGAAAGCCTCAGTTGAGCTCCGTGTGTTGTATAGGCTGGCTAAAGTTGCTATGATAAGGCATGGTAAATGTTGTTGGGTGATGTTTTTGAAGGATTCAAAAAGCCCAACGAGCTTGGACTTCGGAGCCATTAACCGGCCTTAACCTCCCTCTCCCCCCTAGGACTTGGTGGCAGAGCTACGGAGCAGCCTGCCCTTGAGCCACGCGCGAGCGACGTGAAACTGATGCCTCTACCTATGCATGCAGCGCACCTCATCACGCCGAACGCAGAGTCTGCCAGCGAGCTTATCTAGTCTTGCTCGCAGGTGGCCTTCAGTCTTTGGACGGCGTCCTTGTCTGCCAAGGTGTTTCCACCCTTAGAGCAAGTCTGCCTTTGCCACTGAGCACATCTTGCAGGGAGTGTTTTGAGGCCACCCCCAGAGTTAGATCCTGCGCCGATCTTTACCCTGAGGCTCCTGTACACACTCTAACTGCGGCCCAGGCTGGCTGCATCGACAGCAGAGGTGAGGAGAAGAGCGCCAGACGCTCTGCAAAGTCAGGCGGGCATGTCTTTGCCAAACGGTGTCAAGAAAAGGCAATGTCGAACGGGTCGTGACGGTCACGCTACGACACTCTGCGTTGCAGCATGTAGCTTCTGCAGTTCGGCAACCACGTCGCAGATCTCAGATGGTTAGCGATCGGACATGATAGGCAACTGCACACCTGCCAAGCAGGCAGTAGACGCGCCTGTTGCGGACGTCTCCACAAGGCGGGTGGCGAAGGGCAGCTGTGGCATCCTGGCTTTTTGCCAAGAAAGCGTTTGCTCCAGACTATGATCGGTTGTGCCTTGGCTCGTCTGCTTCAGAAGACTCTGGCACTGGTATCCGCCAAGCCTGGACTTGCGTCGCACCCGTAAGCTGCTCAATTCTGAGAACAGCCAAGCTCAGTGCGGATACCGGCAGTCGGATGGGCGGGTGCTCCTCGCCCCAACCTTTTGCATTTGTAATGTCTGCCGTTTGCGGTGTGGTCTGCACTCACTACCACACTCGAGACTCGTTCCCCTTAGTGCCCAGCTTTCAACAGGCTCATTGGCATCGCAGGCCTGCGACCAATTCCCAGCTGAATCGAATCGCCAATTCGAGCAAAGGTGTTCAGGCACCGCATTCAACCTGACCTTGCCTCTTCGACTACTGGACTATGGTATCACCGATACCGAACAGTTTCTGCCGATCTAGACCTAGAGGACATGCCGTTGCTTGCGTCATGACGTGAAGGTACCGGTCTCTGCTGGTGGTCTCGGGAATCTTCATAAGAGAGCCATGGGCCACATGGGCTGACAAGGCAGTCCTTTTTCCAAGCTGCTCGACTCATGCACGCAATATCACGCAAAGTGCTAGTGCTGCATTCGACTTAGCGGTGCAGTCCATGAAGTAAAAACACTTCTGAAGCTCAATGAAGACAGTCTGCATATAGGTTGCGAGCACAGGCTAAGAGATGCTGCTAGGACAGCCTTGTGCGGGCCAGCTCTGGATACCTGCACCTTTTGCATCGACAGAAACGGTTCTGCAGTACGCATCACTTTTGATAAATGCCGGTGAAAAACGAGAGCACTGAAACTCCAGGTAGTTTGCGGGGTGCATGTGCTCACACGGCGACTTCCTCACAAGTGTGCGCACCACCCTTATTGTGACGGGAATGACTTGCTGACCTGTGCCGTATCCGGAGCCGATCTGTTGGTCGCTTTGGGCTCCCCAGCAGATTGACGGAGGCTTACAGAACGAATTCGAGATGGGTTCAGCAGGGTTCCGCTTCGCGTGACATTCGTCATAATCAAGCATACTGGGCATCATAATCACAATCACCGGACGGTGCTGCTCCCAGGCTATTGAGTCTGAAGGAAGTGCCCTAGACTGGCGATCACCCTTGCAGAACAAAGCTAGCCTGTCCGCAAGAACAGGCGAGGAACCCGCATGCTCTACGTGGTGAGACGACCTTTTTTGAATTCCCGGCGAGATTGTTTCGCTCCCACTATCTACCCTGCTAAGGACTGCAATGCGCTTCAGGGAAGGGCACTGCAGGTGCAGTTCTTCGGACTTCTGCGCCACAGCCTTGCCACGCAGGCCACTGCCGTGCCACTTCGCAGGTTGTGGACCTAGGACCCCTCGCCCCTTCCTGGCCCCGGCCTCGCGGTTAAACCCAGGCCTGACCACTCCAAAGATAAGGCCAATTATCGCACTGCAGCACTGCACCGCGCTACCACAGATCTGCCTGCATGGGGTTGATGCCCGCAACGATATGCCTGCGACAGGCAAGCGGTAGGTCACTTGCACCAGGCAGCCCCAACCTACATACGAATGCGCACGACATCTTCTAGCTTGCCGGCACCGGAAATGCCTGAGCACATCCCGCTCCAGACTGCAGAGAGGAGGCACATCGACCTCGCTGATGTCACATAGTCTCGCGTCGAAATGCTTCCGTACGTGCTTCAGGTGTGGCCCATGACTCAGATGTATGAACCGCCTCAGTCAAGATCCAAATTTGGCTCTCAGCCAGTGACGCTTCTTGCATGGCGGGCAAGCGTGGGAAAGACCTCGCAGGAGATTCTCTGACCAGGGCCATTTGAGCGGAAGGGCGCCCCGGGCCCCAGGGCCCCACGGCCCATGCCTGGTCCTTCTCGTAGCCCGGCAGAAGCATCTCTTCGATGGGCCGGTCCGCGACGTGCCTTTGAGCGCAGCGAAGGGCGAAGAAGGAAGATTCGCGCAGCCCTGGCTCGGACCGCCACTGTCGAGGCAGCTGTTGCAAAGGCGCCGTGAGCTTTCCCGGGAGGCCAAGGAGAAGAACGGAGCCTCAAAATCCACAACTACGCTGCTGTGCCATACACAACACGCGGCATCACCACGACTCTCGTCCAAATTGAAAGCTGCCGCAGGAAGCAACTGCGCCGGGCGTATTTCGTCTTCGGGTCCGACGCTCAGCCATTCAAGTTCAGCCGTCTAGGACCCTAGGACATCAGTGGTCGGCAGAACCTAGTCTAGCTACAAGCACGGTGGACATGCAATTCATGCAATGACATAGAGTAGAGATTGTTCGAGCAGTGAGTCTACCACAGAGAGTGGAATACAACAGCAGAGTTGGACAAGTTTCCCATCATCGACGCTCAATGCGCAGCCCCAAAGCCAACACATATAGCTACTGTGGCGCTTTAAGCATCTTGTTGTTGGCATTGTCGCACTTACAATGACACAACCGCTCAGATCTGCAACGCCTTTTTCAATCTTGTGGTGCCAGCGGTGAAACCCGAGCGAAGACCTGACAGGGTCAGCTACTGCACCGAAGCCACACACGTCGGAGTCGTTTGCATCAGCAGAAGCCTCGCCGCTAAGATGCAGGGGGATCAAGTCGTTCAGCTGCAGGCCTGCGCCAAAAGCTGTGCCCGACAATCAGGCGGCCGCAAAATCTCGTATGAACAGCTTCAACATTGCGAAGCCAAGGAACTGCAGTCGCCACCGTTCTTTGCTTCGCCCCAGGCCACCACAGAGCCTGCCGTGAGGCAGAAGGCGATGACTCCAAGGCAAGCTTCAGAACTTTGAGTCCGGGCAAATCGCAGCAGCGCGCCATCTCTCAGTAGGGCCGCAAAGGCGGACGACGCAGCGAAAATCTGCTCCACATTGTGTCTGCAGCGCCGATGGGCAATGCTAAGAGCGGTCACTGTCGGCTGGCAAAGCCGAAGCATAGCTACTGCCGAGCTTGTGCTACGGAGACTCCAAGGCTTCCTGCTGTTGAGACGCAGCTCTGTGGCTGGGTCTCCACCGCGTGCTGCATCCTCGAGCACAGTACCCTTCACGTTCATGAAATAGTACTTGGAAATGACCGCCAAGCACACGCTTCCAGCAGCCACTATATGGCCAAGAGTCACCCCAAGCTACGAGGGCACCGTCAACCGTGAGGGCGCAGAATGCTGCAGATGTGGCATAGACGTGGCGAATGCCTCACAGGCATACTTGGCAAAGGACATTCGGGGAATTCCCCCTCACACGCACCGTGGAGCTGATGCTTCACGGGAATGCAGTTACCACCGCCTCACAGGATGCCGTGTCCAAAAGCCAAGAAAGACTCTGCGAAGCGCCAAGCCTGGCCTTTAGAATCTCCCCAAGCAATCACGTGGCCGTCTGCCCGCAGCGCCGCGAAAGCCGAGTCTGTCGCTGCCAGCTGGCGAAACGAAGAAGGGCGGGCACTGGAGACAGCTTGGAAGATTCCACTGACATTCAAACCCTTGTGCGTCTCATGTGACTTAACGGCACATCCCGGTGTTGTCATCTTGCGGTTGAACGACATGTTCCCAGCATCTTCCCACCATGTTCTGTGCAGGGCTCTGATGGCAGCCTGCTTCACTTCGAAGAGGAGATGCTGGACAGAACTGCAGTCTCCGCCTGCGACTGAACGGCCGGGGCGTACACGGAAGCAGGAAGGAGCTGGCCTCCGTCAGAACGGCCCCAAGCGATAACACTGCCATCGTCTCCTTTGTGGGGGCTCGTTGCCAGGGAGCTGCTAGGGTGAGGTGACAGTACGAAGAATGCCGTTGCGAGTCGGACAGCTGCAAATGCTGAGCGAGTGGTGCAAATTTGCCGGATGCGAAGCAGATGCCTTGCACAGACACAGCGAACTGCCATGCGCCGAATATGCTTCCATGCTTGTACTTCAACCAGCTAGTCCACCTGTGAGGTGGAAGACTTTGACCCAGGGCGCCCCAGGTGATAACCTCGAAGTGGGGCACAGCATGCGCGCGTCCTTTACCAACGTTGCCTTTCTTTGTGGGTGTGTGATGTGCGCATGTTCACGCCGAGAAGAACATGTGCCGCTGGACACAATCCATAGCGACAACATGCTGCAGTTGGTGCAGGTTTATGTGATTTATGTGTTGTTCCTCCGATGAAAGGATGCGGAGAAGCAGCACGACCATCTGCTCGCAGGACAGCACAAGCCGAATCCTGCTGAAGCTGCAACTGTGCAAACCGCGAACTCGACAGATTCGACAGCACTCTCAACCCCCATTTCCCCAACAGACTTACCGACTCCAGGAGTCCGTTGCGTACACACGGCGCACTTCACGGAGCTCTTGCTGTAGTTTTGTTCCTGGCATGTGATCGTGCAGAATAGATGCATGATAATCTGCCTACGGTGTTTTGTTTACAATCGGTGGAGACGACTGGACAGCAATTCAACCGAGATGCCGTCTCGGCCAGATGGCACATCACCCCATACAACGGGCTGACCATCCATCCTGACGTCTGCGAGATTCTTGCGACGCACGTACCAGGCAGACACAATTGTCACACAAGCCTTCCCAGGAGAAACAGCATCTTGCATCGCATGGTGCCAAACTTTGACCTTTCTTCCTCCGTTGTGCCTCATCCTACGTGTTACAGTGGTGGATGCATGCAGATCAAGGCATAGCAATGCCCAAGCAGTTTCAACTTCTGAAGCAGTGGATCCTTGAAGAGCATTGGATTACAGCTGTGGTTGCTCGCCCAGCTAGGCCGCCCCCGACTGGCCGAGCCTGAACATCTAAACTACTTGGGACTTAGGGCTCTCATGCTGCACAAACAGCACACTAGCCGACTAGTCGGCCGCATGGCAAGGCTCCGAATCGCAGCGAAGCCGTTGGCGAACCCAAGAAGCTGCCGGACGTCGGTGAGCTGCTCTCGCACCTATGAGCGCAAGCAGACCGCAACCCTGCAAGCTGCTCAGGAGTGATTCAAGGCTTGAAGGCGGAGGGCAGAGCTGCTGTCTCCACCAACACTTGCAGAGCCCCAGGTCACCACCCTACCTCGGCTTGCAATCGAAGCCAACCGTCGCGTTCGTTTGCACCGTCCTTTGCTGCCAGGCTGCCATCATCCCGCAAGGCTGCAAAAGCGAAGGTCGACGAGCAAATCTCCTCAGTCTCCCACTCAACAATGTGCAAAAGCACTGAAGGCGACGCTGCTGTCTGATTGTTCACTCCTTCACATTCACGAGCTGGGATTGCACCATTGCACTGTTCCCTCCGGACCTTGGGGAAGCACGTAGCTCTGGGCACGTCTTCCGGTTCACAGGCACACGTTTCGAGCTTGCCAAAGCGCTGGTCAATGCCCCAGGTGACGACACTTCCATCCTGGAGGACATTGGCATTGAGCCGACATTTCTTCATCTACTTCAACTATTGAGCGTCCTTTCGCAATGCTGCGAATGCACAAGCTGACGCATGCAGCCTTGGCTTCGCAGAAACTCCGCGTGAGCACAGCTGCAAGTCGAACTACATGTGCTGTCAGTGGAGGGGCTCTTTCACCTTCACCAGCTGCTTGTGCACGGCACTGCTGTTTCCACCGGTCCTGCGAGAGCGTTCTGACAGCCTCAGCCTTTACCCGACCTTCCCATGTGGAGCGCGACAGAACATGCCCCAGTCCGCAGCCGTTCAACCTATCCCCACCGGAAGCGTTTAGAGTTGCTACTTTTAGTATCGCTTGTGTCTTTTTGGTGTCCCTTGTGGCTTGCTTCCCTTCTTCTGGAAGCCCTGAAAACCGTAAGCCTTAGCTCCCCGAAGTAAAATTCGAAATCTGTGCGAATCACTCTTCCTTTCCTGGCGGACCATTCCAGTCCAGCACCCCGAATCTATCAGCAGAGGGCTGACATAGAAAGTCCTGCAGAAGAGAACCCTGCAGCGTGCACTATCCCAATGTAGATCGGTGTACAACCTATTCTTGGATTCTTTCTCTTGCCAGGAATATTGAGTCGTCCGCACATTGTCCGGAACACAGAAACTCAGTGTATGCAGGGTTGGTATTAAACATTCAGTTTGTTGCCATCAGGGTTGGTGTAGTTCTTATCACACTCACACTAGGCGGTTATGCTCGGTTTCTACGCCCTGAGCTCGACGCAGGTCGGGCTGCCATTGTTAACCCCGGGGATCAAGAGCAAGTAATCCCGCGGAGGATTGTTGACTCCTCTTTACGTCAAGGTTGGGCTAGCACGGGTCGCGATGCCTAACTAGCTTTCACACGATCTCGTGTCACCCTTGAGCCATCACCTTGGTGACCCATAAGCCCACAACATCCACGTGTGGAGGCTCGTCAGGCGACCGGCTCGCCGTAGCGGGATCGGGCTCCACCCGTGGTCGACCCTTGAGTAGTCCCTGCAACTTAATTACGCTCATGCACGCGTTGTCTTCGCGTATTGCCAACGTAAGTTGCTCATCTTCATCGTCAGGCATTGTCGCTTGGGTCTCGGATCCCATTGTCCTATTGTTGACCTATATAGGCATGTCTTCTTCTCCTCTACGCACGGTGCTACTCCTAACTCCTGCGTCCCCAATATTATGTCTCCTGATGTCCAGGGGAGGACTATTTCTTTGTCGCCAGCCCGTCACATTTCCTCATCAACATCTCGCACGCTCGCCGTTCCTAATTCATATTGTCGTCATCTCCAGCATTTCCAGCGGAGCTTTCTCTTGACTTGCGGATCGGTGCAGAACCTGTTATTTCTCCTAGCAGGAATGTTGAGTCGCATTGGGCGAATACGGTCGCAGGCGTTGTTTAGAAGGTTGAACACCGAAAGCTCATGGGATGGTATTACAAGTTCTCGGTGCCATCAGGGTTGGCGTACTTCTTTGTTGTCACGCCGACACAATGCGGTTGTAGCTGTGCTCTGCTTCTACGTCCTGAGCTCGTCGGGTCTCCTGGATAAGCCCCAAGGTCGGGGTGCCCTCATTAAGAGCAGCGTAAGAAAGGGATCGATCCGAAACACCCACGAAAAGCACTGAAAGGCTCGCCTCCTCACCTGCCCAACCTGGCTTTAGCCGCCAAGCTTTGCAAAGCTGAGAAACAGAAGGACGATCTTTAGGCGCTGTAAAAGTCGTTTTGTAGTACACTAGCTGCAGTTCTCGCCATCCGTTTGTTGTTCCTTGTTCAGTTGTAAGTGACTCACCGTCGCCGCAGAGTCCTGTGAATAAATACGAGCTGTTGATGTACTAGACCATCTTCCACGCAAAAGGGTTTTCTCCATGCTACCATGAAAAAGGAAGTTCCAGGTCGCACCACCCCTTCGCAGGCTGTAAACAGTAAGAAAGCCCTCCACTTGGAAAACAGCCACCAATTCATAAAACAGCTTACGGAAGAACCGTTCGCCCCTGTATAGCAAGTAATCATCCAAACGGATTTGCATACAAGCTTTTCTGAGCCATCGGACGGCTACGTCAGATTCTACCACCACCGTCGCCTTTGCACCTGAACGTTTCCCCGACTTGCTTTTTCCTAGGCAGAAGACAGCCTCGTCACGCAGGAACCTAATGTCTTTGCGACGCAAGTGACAAAGCTCACCCGGATGTAAAATGCAGTCAAACCCCACAAGGAAGGCAGCACCTTCCGCCACCAGACCCATTTGTATCGCTGCACCGGCAAACGCACCGATGAGCAATGGAGAGATAGGCAACACACGTAGGGGTGGTTCCAAACGATGCCAAACTTTCACTAGTTGCCAAGCCTGTTTTAGCTTGCCAACACAAGCAGGGAAGAAAAAACTGCAAACTTACCAAAGCAAAGTTTACGAACGACTTGTGTTCACCCTCCACGTAGGCAAACTCCATCCAAGCTGAAACTGACTCATCAAAGTTGTCCCATGACAAACTGCCTTGCTTCAATTCTTGTAAAAAGAGCAATATGGGCCAAACTGCTTTCGCATAACGGTTCTGAATCTGAGACGAGACCATTTGCGATTTCAAGCTTTGTCCTTTGCGACTCCTTTTCCTCTCCTCCTTTTGACCAAGCGTGAGCGAGCGCCCCATCGCGAAGGGATATTCGAGGGATTGGAGTCAGTCGATACGTAACCGACGGCAAGCACCACACCACTAGCCAACGCCAGCGAGTTTAGCTTTTTCAGGCCCCGCTTCAGACGAGCACTGCTGCTTCTACCCGTTGCAATATTGCACATACAACTTGATTGTCAAGCAGGTGGAGGACGCGGCACCGGCCATTGCCAGCTTTACGAAGTCGCCACTGGAGCCCATTTAGCACCGTTTGCAATTCGAGCACGTTGATGTGATCCCGATGTTTCCAAACATACCCATGCACCACCGACCAATGGAACATGGACGAGTTGATGCCGGCTCGTGGCCAGGCACGTGCTCTAAACGGCACTCCCACATCCAAACGAACATCCGTGCCACCTTTCTCAGCTTGTCGGCAAAAGTGCTTAACCGGCTGTTGCGTTTCCACAGTGTTACACGCACCTCCAACGAAGCGGGGATACGGGTAACCAAGAGTGAATGGCACAACATAACCAAAGCATGCACACACTGGGCGTTACCGAGCATGCGACTTCCCAACTCAAGCTTGCAAGCTGGACTCATCTTGTGTGGGAGTGTGCCTTCTACATAACCTTTGTCAAAACCCATGAGGACTTCACTCTCAGACAAGGTTGGTAGTCTAGGTGCGCCTATGAAGTTCTCATCTACAGCCGTGGGGGGGGTAACCCCCCTGAGGGTTCGAGCTAAACCAGTAGGGGGTTTGGAAAAAACGAGACGATTTTCAAGTTTGTCATCAAAACGACTGGGGGGTTCGTTTTCGGAGCCATAAAAAATTCAAATTCGGAAGAAGTGGTCTGGCCACTTCCGATACCAAGTACTTGCACCGGGGAAACCCGTCAGCTCAGCTAGGTTGCTACGACCCCAGCAGACACGCAAGTGCAAAATCGCTGCCTGCCAAAACCCACGTGTAAGCATTCCCACTGAAATCCACACACACAGAGCACAACCCCAAAGCCCAAACGCCTAGACGCCTAAACAAAACACGACACACACACACACACCCAAAGCCCGAACCCCTACACGCCTAAACGAAACACGACACACACACACACACACGCAAACACGTGATGCACCTTTTTCTCTCGCACCCCACGAGCTTTGTGCAGAAAACTTATGCCTTATGCATAATTACTCCAGCGAGCCATCATCATGGAATCCAGAGTGTCAGTCGGCTGCGAATCTAGACTGCAATCGAACGCAGGAGGCAACACCGGAGGGGCCATCCCTTGGAAAGGGATGACCTGGGTCTCGGGGAACTCTTCTGGATCTGACGCAGGCACCTCTACAGCAGGCTCCGCTACATCCATGATACAACTTTCCTCGCACTCTGCGTTTTCCAAGACGCCGAGCAGTTCACACAAGTCTTCGTTCAGCCCTTGTTTCAGGGCCCTGATGTGCTCCTCTAGGGCCCTGATGTGATCTTCTCGTGCCTTTCGCTCGGCGAGGAGCTGATCAACATTTGCACGCAGTGCAGTGGTCAGATCTTTTTGCAGCTGCAGCCGATAATTCGTAATCTCCAGTTCCACCTTGAGCTGTTGCTCCAGTGTCCCAGGAGTCGAAAAGGTCGCAGCTTCACGGCTCTCGAGATCTCTGGTGACAGAGTCCCAAGTTTCATCATCAACTACGAAGCTTCTCTTCATCTTAGGCAGAAGCTGTGAAAGAGGAGTTTGAGCCGAAACCTCGTGTGTCAAAAAGATAACACAAGCAAAAGCTTAGCATCTCCATGGAAACTAACTGTGCACTAGCTCCTATATCCCACCACCATCCCCGGAACTCCACCAGGACGATAGTAGTGCGAAAGTAGATAGCTAGCGAGCTAGCCGAGCGACGACCAGACGGGCAAGCAACGCAGCTAGCACGGACGTTCTTTTGTCTGGAGTGGCAACTATCCCAGGTTGCCTGGAGATAACTGATAGCCTTCGGCTATCTATCCCCAGGGTGGGCAGGGTGGGTACTTCAAAATTACCCCCCCTGATGGGGGACTTTATCCAGAATGGCCACGGTCACACACCGTCGTAGCCATTCCAAGTCACTGCTATCCTGTCTTCGCATGTCAGAGGCAACTCTCCTGCGAGCGACGATAGCGAACGAAACTTCGTTTCTAGCGAAGCTACCTTCGATAGCTTCGAGTAGTAATAGGTAAGCTAGCACACATAGTCGTAACTCGTTCCTCGTCACGAGGTACGTGCACTAGCTCCTATATCCCACCACCATCCCCGGAACTCCACCAGGACGATAGTAGTGCGAAAGTAGATAGCTAGCGAGCTAGCCGAGCGACGACCAGACGGACAAGCAACACAGCTAGCACGGACGTTCTTTTGTCTGGAGTGGCAACTATCCCAGGTTGCCTG